ATTTAAACCTCTATAGATCATCTTTTGAGTCGTTCTCTTTGGTTACTTACAGCTAGTTGTGCATGATCAACACTTTAGTCATAACTAAAGCAAAGACCATAAGATAGACTCATATGGTACACAACTTCATCATAGACACAGCTATAATATGGGTATTAACACCTCAACCTCAAATAACTAAGTTGAATATCACTAAGGCTACCAAGATCAAATCAAAATTAGTGAAAGCTCACTACTCTCATAAAGTTTAACGAAATGCAAGGTACAACTTGCCACCAAGTATAACGCTACAGAAAAAAAGCACAAGGGTCACCTTTCTAGAAAAGTGCAATGGACACTTTTTTACACTTAACTCATGACTCTATCCAACTCAATTGCTTTAGCCCCAAAAATTAATATCCCTTTTAGGTTGCATCATATAAACTACATACTAAGGTTTAGGCCAACCAAAGTCAACTCCAACCCCTTCACTAATTTGTATTGGCTTACGAAAATGGAATGATTTTCAGGTAATATAATCAATAAATTAGCCATTAGAAAAGTTTAAAAAAATTTATGGAAAATTTTCATCCTAGAAAAAGAATGACTCCCATTCTAGGAATACAAACTTTCAAGATTCAACCAATTTCCTCCTACCAACAAATTTATACAGATTCACCTCAACATAAATTTTCATAACCCAACACTAGATCACAAAGATCATATTTTCAGATATCCACATTGCACTAACACTCTTCTTCAATCACCTTTAAAATCCAGTATGAAAATAAAACACTAATAAAAAAAATGACATGAAAGATTAAGGTCTATAGAAAATTCCTCATCACTTGAGAAATAATGTTACTTTCACTAATATAAGTGTTAGCAATGTCAATGTTTTAACTACATACCTTCTCCATCCAACAATCTATTCCAAATGCTAATGGATAAACTAGCAAATGAATGTTATAACCCTTTTCAACACCATAATTGGCAAACTTTTAAGAACCAAGGTACCAACTCAAACTTAGCATAATGAACTACTATTGAGAACTAAATCAAAGTTATTTCAATGTTACTATTTGCAAGTAAACTAACTTGACTACTAACCACTTTAAGGTTGATCATTGTTTAACCAATCAACTTTTATGTGCTCACTATCACATAGATATGATATAAAAATCACAATGACTTGATCATCAATCAAGCAATACCACAAACAAACCTACATTATTACTTCAAAAGTTTACGTGAATATCAAATGCCAACACTATTCAATAAAATGCAACATAAATGCCATACCCCACTAATAAAGATTTACAATACCAAACATCACTAACTCTATTCACAATATAAACAAGCTTAGGAAAAAGTCACCAATGAAATTACTGATAAAAATGATTACAATTATTCTATTTCTCAAGAGTAGCTTTGTTATTGATTTATGTTCCACTCTCTTTTTAACCAAACTCAAAATTAATCCTACACTGAGCTACTCAAAAAACAATAGCAAGGTTCCCTGGAAAAGAATTAAATATTGTAACCCAAATCTTCAATAGCAAGCTTAAACAAAATGGTTTAGTGCTTCACTATTATCTATCCCCTAACTCACCACTTGTAAGACCATAATAACTAACATGCATCAAGATAAGGATTCTTAATTGCATAATGTGAATACGAGTAATGAATTAACACATTGTTGTAAATCATCTTTCCAAAAAGAGAAAATGATTTACATATTTGATTCTTCGTCCTTGATTACTCTTTTTTCGGTCTCATCTTGATTAAACCTCAAGCTTGCATTCACATTGCCTTCAATTCAATCCAAGAAAAATTTATAAGAGAGCATAGCAATGACTATTTAAACCAATAGCCTAATCTCTATTAGTGCTGTGCTAAACAGTTGCAAACCAACCTATTTGCTACTCATAACAAACCCAAGGGAGGTTTATTTTTCACCTATAGTACATGATTCAACCCATACAAAGGGTGATAGCGACATAAACATGTTTATAAACATAATAAACATAATTATAAATATGTTTATAGTGAGGGTGATTAATATACACAATAAATTATCATTTAGCAAATATTAAGTGATTAATCTCAATATTGCACGGGTTCTTGTTAAACTAGTGCAAAACAGAGCAAAAGAAACTAACAAGTCAGGCCATGTATGTTTGGCTAAATAGACACTAAGCACTTTAGTCACAAATCATTTGTATACTTGAAGAAATGTTACATCATGGTATCATGGGAATAGAGTTCTTGCAGTATGTTTGGTTCATCCTCATATTTCTTATTGAAGACCAATAAAGCAGAGCTTTCCAGTTTGTACCTGTTTCACAGCAGCTTTTGCCACTCAGATTCAAATGGAACCTGCAAGATGAGCACAAAGAAATGACACTGCAAGTAGGAGAATAGATGGTGTAGTTATTCCTCTCAGACATGCAAGGTTCGCATTTTGATGGAACGAAGACTACATCTGGATCCAGCTGTGATACTCATAGTAAACATACACATACATGCAAATGATACCTCCCAAATGCCAGGTGACACGCTCGCAAGCAGATTGTGGTCCAGTGTTCGGGCCCTGTCCTTCATTTGTGCGAGAACCTGGTTAATGCTTTCAGGTGCTGGATGTACTGATGACGCCCCAGCACCCCACGGAGAAGCACATGTTGCCGCTTGCACCACAAGACTTTCCATGTCCTCCTCGTACATATGCTTGCAGTCAGCAAGCGTCATTGAAAGGTAGTTAGCAACTCTACTCAAATCCCATGGGCGTTTTGGTAGGCAGTGGCAAAACGCTCCTTCCTTTTCTTCTGTGTCTCCTCAGGTCGTGTATCTGCTACACCTGTAAGAATTGATTCATTTCAGAATCACGAATGTGTCTTACCGAGCTCCTTTATGTCATAGACGTTTGGAATTGGAAGCTTATACGTGTCAGGAAGCAGCATATGGAGCCATGATTTGGCTTCGACGGATTGCTTTCCAGCCTCCACCTCGGTATCCGGTACCACGATTGAAAGTTGAGCTAGAAGTCTCTTCGCCTCACCACCAAGGAAACAAAAGTTGCGTTCAAGACCATAAACTGTTATGTGCACAACAGGCTCTGTCTTCTTGCCATAAGCTTCGTCACCCTGCGAGTAAGACTTATGCATCTCATCCTTCCTCCATAACTTTGTTGGCACTGGCTCTTTATGTTTTGGTTTATACTGCCAAGTGCCTGGAAAAAACACTTCTTTTGCTGTTTAAAAGAAAAAACGTGTTTTGCTTGGCATCCGGATCTCGAGTAATGGGAATGTCCCATCGCAAGTTTCATCTAAGGATTCCAAAGCTTCTAATTAGCAAGTATGCAGGACAATAAAAACATCTGATCAAGATATCGGAAAATGGTCGTCTTATCACACACATGTGGCAGTGGAAGAACGTTTTTGCTTCTGCTTGACACTTGTTCATCCATGGATTTTTTCCCCTATTAGTTTGCTGTTCTTCCTGCAGCAGGAAAAGCATCATGAGGATTAGCAAAGCAAAACTTTCGATACCAACAGCACAGAGGTCACATTTAAATTCTTGCTGCTCGTTGGACTGTGGTACATATTGACTCCCATCTAGACAAGTAAAATATAATGAAATGAAGTGAGAACTCGGGCTGCACAAGTACGACCGGAAAACTACTTGCCTGTGGGGACTTCTTCCCCACGTGTGTCATCCAATGCCTAGTAATTTGTCGGTAATCTTCCTTGTCACCTTCTTTGTATGTTCTCCTGCTAAGAATATGTCATAGTCTTCATTGAATGCTTCGTCCCGTGTGTAGTCCATAATTACGTGAAGGGTAGTAGACCTGGAATAAGTAGTTTCTACTTTTTATGTTCTCTTAGGGAGCTCCATTGCAAGATATAATCCAGATGTGCATACTAGCCAAATGCAAGATGCTCAAGATCCACTTGATGAACATGAAAATTAATAGTGAAGAGATAACACTTTTAGGTGTAAACATTGAGGAGATGAGTAGAATGGCACTACCATAGAACATTTGAACCATCTATTAGAAAGATGGAAGTTTCAAGTTCAAAATAGATAGCTTATATTAGCAGAATTATTAAAGATAAAATTCTAAAAATTAAGAGTCACATCAAGTATAAATTCTAAAATATACTTAATCTTATGCTTAAAACATTTAATATACGTATGTAATAGGGTAATCATATCAGTTCTTATCTCAATGCACATAGATTTTGGTTTGCAAATTCCACCTCGTATAATCTATATAATTCCCTGCTAGCGAGATAGTTTCACTCCGTGTCTCCGCTTCATCTGGTTTCAGCAAGACTCCTGTTCTCCTATGGCCATTGTACACTACTCCCCTTATGTATGGCTGCATTGTCGGGAAGCGATGCTCCAGAAAGACTTCTTCTACCATTTGTTCCACGCATTTGCCAGGAAAGTTGGCCTGGTGCACCTCGAAGAGAGTGCAATCGATGTAGATAGTGTAATCGACCATGCACGTAGTACCTCCATTTGCAGAGCCAGTCGAATAACCCTCTTTCCCAGCGCTGCCTAAGCATGCTCCACCTTTGCTGGTATGACAACCTTTGTGTGTGTTTTCCTCGTCTTGTTCATCCTCGTCCAGCCTAAGAGGGTCTAGGAAGCGGTTTACGAGTCGCGCTGGTAGATCGGAAAGTGCTCTTGTCCTCTCTGATAGCTCCTTGGTTAGCTTGTGCCGGTACTCCTTTGTATTTGCAGCTACAATGGTAAAAATGTAGCGATCCTCGCTCATCTGGTGCCACTGTTGCTCAAGCTCCTTGATTTTCACTCTTCATTCTCTCCTGGTGTCTTACTTTCGATCTGTTCATACCGTTGGATGATAGTCCTTAAAGCTTATTTAAGCTATTGCATAGTTTTGTTTGAACCCTCTAGTCTTCGTCCTCCAGCTTATTGCTGTTGAATCGGCATTTTCTATAGACAACGATCTTGGCGGCCCAGCGTAGCAACGAAGAAAAGAATATACTATGCCCTTGCGGTGAGAGATTTATAGCTTATTGCTGACGGTGTTGAATCTCTTCTATTGACAAGTCCAAAGTTTATGATCTTAGAGGTTACTACTAGCGGAAATTTTACCAGTCGCGGGGAGTAAAAATCTTGCTCCAACGTAAAACAAAGAAGAAAAGAATTTACTATGCGGTCGCGGTGAGAGATCCATCCTTGATGAGCTTATTGCTGAGGCTGTTGAATCGTCCCTTGGAGTAGCGCCGCGACGCCTTCCGCCAATCCGTGCCAGTTCTCATCACCCTCGCGAACTCCTCGTAGCTCACCAATCCATCCTTATCCGCGTCCACCTCCGCCAGGATGTCCGCCACCACCTCGCCGCCATCGCCGCCGCCCGGCTCCTCCGCCAGCGCCGCCGCCAGATCCTCTTTGTCCAGGAACCCGTTGGCATCCTTGTCGAGCCGATCAAAAGCCTTGCGGAGGTGGTCGTCGCTGTCGAACCGCTGCTGGAGGTAGACGATCACGGTGACGAACTCGCCATAGTTGAGCACGCCATCGTTGTCCTCGTCCGCGGCGTCCATCACCGACTTGAGCTCCACCTCGGCGTACTCGTTCGTGACGATGGTGGGCGATTTCGCCAGCCCGATCTTGAGCTCGTCGAGCGTGATCCCGCCCCGCCCGCTCGAGTCCATGGCCTCGAAGATCTCCCGCATGCCAGCATTCTCCTCCTGCGACAGCTCCTCCGCGATGATCTCCAGCGCCTTCTTGCGCAGCTTGTTGAGCGCCGCGAACTGCTTGAGCCGGGTCCGCACGGCGTCCAGCGGTACATTTGGCGCGTGCTTCCCCGCGCGGTGCAGCCAGGGGTGCTCCAGCACCTGCGACGCCGAGAGGCGGAGCCGCGGGTCGGGCTCCAGCATCCGGCGGACGAGGCTCTTGGCGGACTCGGACACCGCCGGCCACGGCTCGCGCCGGAAGTCGAGCACGCCGCGCAGTATGGCCTGCGCCACGCCCTGCTCGGTCTCGGCCCAGAAGGGCGGCACGCCGCACAGCAAGATGTAGAGGATGACGCCGGCGCTCCACACGTCCACCTCGGGGCCATAGTTGCGCTTGAGGACCTCGGGCGCCATGTAGTAGGGGCTGCCCACGATCTCGTTGAATCGCTCCCCGGGACGAAAGAAAACCGAGAGCCCAAAGTCGATGGCCTTGAGCGCCGAATTCTCCTTGCGGTTGGCGAAGAGGAAGTTCTCGGGCTTGAGATCTCGGTGCATGACTCCCTGGAAAACAAAATGTATCATTCATCACCAACCATATGACATAGGCATGATATATCCATGCATGCATGAAATATACGTATGCACTGTCATGCATATGCATGATCAAACAACATACCTGGCGGTGACACGCCTGTACGACCTCGACGATGGTACGGATGACCCCCGCCGCCGCGCGCTCCGTGTAGTGCCCCCGCGCGATGATCCGATCAAACAGCTCGCCGCCCGCGCACAGCTCCATGACGATGTGCACCGCGCGCTCGTCCTCGTACGCGCCCTTGAGCGCCACGATGTTGGAGTGTGGCGGCAGGTGGCGCATGATCGCCACCTCGCGCCGCACGTCCTCGATGTCCACCGCCGTCTTGAGCTTGGACTTGGAGATGGACTTGCACGCCAGCAGCTCCTGCGACTCCTGCTCCATGCACAGGTACGTGACGCCGAACTCGCCGCGCCCCAGCTCGCGCCCCAGGTTGTAGCGCTCCTTGATCGAGCTCCCGGTGCGCTGCTCCGCGTCCAGCACCGTCAGCTTGCGCTGCCCGTTCTCGCTGTCCTTGGCGTAGGGGTTGCCCTTGAATCGCTTCTTCTTCCCTCGAGGCTTGTGGGAGTCTTGATCGCCCGCCTCTCGGGGTGGTGTCGCGCAGCAATTCCCCATCTGATCTTGTAGCTAGAGCTCCAGGAGGGCGGAAAAAAGCGATTTTTCTCCCTGGAACCCGCGACTTTGACGTCCGCTCAAACGCTTTTCCTCGCTTTCTTGATGGAACTTATCTTTATAGCTGCGGGACGAACTTCTTCTCGGCTGGAAGACTTTTAAGCCGCTGCCACTTTTTCTAGAGCTTCCACTCCTGCAGGTTTTCGCTGTTTCCTGGAGAATTCCCGTGGATCTCTGGAGCCCGAGCTGAAAAGTCTAGTTTTTCCCTGAGAAGAACCACCTTTGAAGACTAATTCTTTGTTTCCTTGTCTTCCAAGTTCCAAGCTTGGATTTTGCCTGCTCCGATCTGAGAGAAACCTGTGCCGTTTTGCTAGCTACCCATTGCTTTCCCTGCCCCTGTTTTGTGGGCGAAAATATCGCTGCTTAGATGATGCTACCGGCTGACCGACTGATATCACTGTTAAACCTGTGCAGCAACAACGAGACAAACGTCAGTCCATCCATCCCCGCGGCTTCATTGCGCTGGTGAATCCAAATCCACAACATCCACCAAGAACAATCCAGCAAAAAACAATCACCAAACCGAAAGAGGGCAGCCAGGCATTCAAAGAGGGCCGACGAGGAGGGAGGAATTCACGGACTCTTGTGAAAAACCCGGGCACCAAATTCCTCCAAGCACCAATTCCAGCGATCTCTCGCAAGCTAGTCTCCTCCACTCCATCCCATCCGAAGAGCAAACATGGAAAAAAAAAGGCTTCTCTCCTCACTCACCTCAGACTTGGCTTGTGTCGACCTTCGCTGGTTGGATGCTCGTTTTGACGAATCCAAGGTTTTGGGCGCTATTGCTAACGCCGGAAATGCTGCGCCTGCCTTGGATCATGGATCCGGGGCCTCCAATCCGGAAGAAAAATAAGAACACTCGGCTGGAACTGCTCATGGGTCATGAGTCCCGCGGCCCGTGTTGACTTTTCTCGAGAGAAAGACGAAGGCCAAACGCAAATCCGGTCCAGTCCACTCCCGAGCTTCTAGAGGCGCTACCACAGCACAAAGACGACGAGCCAGAAAGAAAGAAGAAAACAAAGAGAAAGCTCCATTTTACACTGCTAATAAGATAGGGAGGCTGGGATTAATTTCTTAAGGCTGCTTAATATAATCTCTTGTGACTCTTCCAACCCAAGCACCGCAAAGTAAAAAAGAGCCTTTCTTCTCTCTCTCCTTTTCTTTCTCCTTTCTCCCCTTGAAGCATTTGATCGCAAAGCTTTTACACAACAGCTCCTGAAAAGTACTGAGCAGCAGCGACTCGGCGTACAAAGGTGAGCAAAAAAGAGAGTTTTTTCGAGCTATGGAAACTGTAGAAGAAGATAATCAATCTTCGAGCTATGGAAACTGTAGTAGAAGAAGATAATCAATCATGAACTGTAAGCTAGATAGATACGGCTAGCTACACCAACAGCAAAAACAAAGAAGGAAGAAAAACGAGAGCTTTACCTGTGTAGAGTCTTTGTTCCTTCGTTGTTGTCAGCGTTTTTCTTAGTCGAGCTTCACCGAGGAGAACAGGTAATGCGTGAAGTAGAAGCTTGTCAAGAACCCGACCGTCCCGGTAGCGAGCATGAGCGCCAGCACCATGAGTAGCGTGTATCCCATGTAGAGCATTGCCGACACCGGCCCGCTCAAGCTGTGGAGATCGAACACCAAGTAGTTGATCGCGTAGAGCAGGACGTAGAGTGCCACCGAGCCCGACGCGAAGAAGGATTTCCACCACCACCGCCAGTCCTCGACGCAGAGGTGCATGTAAGTCAGCACCACCGAGACCTCGGCGCAGACGATGACGAGCAGCACCAGGACCACGAAGAGGAAGCCGAAGACGTAGTAGAAGCGGCCCATCCAGATGCTCGACATGATGAAGAAGAGCTCGATGAAGAGAGTTCCAAAAGGAAGCGTCCCGGCGCCGAGGACGAGCACCCAGGAGGGGTACTTTTGCGCAGGGACCTCGCGGGGGATCTGGTTCGTGCGCACCGGGAAGGAGATGTGCTCGGCTCGGACTCCCAAGTAGCCGCCGAAGAGCGTGAGTGGCACCGAGATGCAAAACCAGAGCGCCACCAGCACGAAGAACATCCAGAGCGGGATCGCTCCAGTGCTGTGACTTCCCCAGAGCAAGAAGTTGAGGAAGGTGAGGACGACGAACGAGATCCCCGGGAAGAAGCAGGCCACTCTCCAGGCGATGGACCTCCATCCGGCGGAATCACCCAGCTTCAAAGTTTTCCACAGCCGGCAAGCAGCGTAGCCAGCCGAGATGCCGAGGAAGAGGTACAGCAGCACCATTCCCGTGAGCAGCATACCCCTCGACGCCGGCGACATGAACCCGAACGCTGCGAAAAAGATGGTGACGATGGCCATCCCGAGGATCTGTACTCCGCTTCCAACCATGACGCACAGCAGCTTCGAGTGAGGTGGCGGCCGGAAAACATCGCCCACAACGAGCTTCCACCCGGAGAGCTCCTCGTTCATCTGTGCCTGCGCCTCCTTGTCCAGCTCCTCATACTTGGTGAGATCCCGGCGAACAGTCCTCAAGAAGATGACGAACACGATCCCGGCCAGGAACGCGATCACCATCAACGAGTTCAGAATCGAGAACCAGTGCACACGCGAGCCTTCCATCTTGAGATATGCATCCCACCGCGACGGCCACCTCGTCGGGCTGAGCTCAAAGCTCACCTCGTAGCTGAAAGTTAAGCTCGCACCAGTCTCCACCACCTGGTATCTCCCCCGATCCATCTCGCAAACCACCTCCGGAAGCTTGTCATACATCTTTAGATCCTTGGTGCTCGACTTCTCGTGAGGATAGCTGCAAGGAACCACCTCGAATCCCACCACCACGTAGCCGGACAAGTTCTTGCCAGGAACCACGTCGAATCCATCCCCGGTTCCCATCACCGATCCCACACCCGTGTCCTCGTACTGGTGGATCAAGACTTTAAACTTGAGATGGTTGAAGATGTAGTAGCGATCGTTGGGCGGATGGAAGCCAACCAAGTAACCCGTCCAGCGCGTAGGCGGAAGATCCGAGTCGGGGATCACAGTATACCTCACCACTGGAAGATTGTCCAGCATGAGATTCACCTGGTAGACGTCGTCGATCCGGCGCTTGAGATGCTTGACATCGTTGTCCGAGAGCGTGTGGGTGCACAGGAAAATGCTGGATTCGTTGGTGTTCATCCGAAACCGGTATGGCGACGACTCGATCTCGTCGCCCATGAGGAGCTCGCCAAGATTCTCGGCGCTCTTCTTCACGCCGCCCTGGGGCTGGCAGAAGGGGAGGCTGTAGTAGCTGTAGGGGAGCTCCGTCTCGATGGAGGTGAGCGAATTCACCTTGGCGTACAGATCCTTGCCGTCGGGGTAAGCGTGCAAGTAGCTACCTGGTAAGTAGAAGGCGGCCGCATTGTGGATCCAGCACAGGATCGCGAGCACCGCCAAGATCTCCAGCTTTGTCCCCATGATCGGGGCGATTTCTCCCAGATCGGCGCCTCCACAGCTCAAGATCTAGACTATTTGCCCTGTGAATGCCCTAAATCTCCAATTTAACGGAATCTTCCGTCTACCAGTACTAACGGTGCCAGAATATTCTCTGTGACGGGATATTTGGTAGAATCCAAAACGTAGTTTAGGGCTATGGTGAATTCACATTAAAAGTGCTGTAGGGTTTTGCGCGGATCGATCGATCAATGCAGCTACTCCTCTTGTGATCGCGTGGAATGGCGGCACAGCCGCTACCGGTTGTGGATTGGGAGGTTGGAATCGCTCGAATCTACATCTCTGTCTCTTCTTCATGCTTCGATCTGGAATTTTCTCGCAGGCTGTCAAGGAGGAGCTCGAGGCAATCGACGACTCGTGGAAGCAACCTCGATTCGACTCCCTCACGCACGTCGTCGAGGTCCTCACATCGCATAATCCCGAGGACGCCACGCAGACGCTGCGAGAGCAGCGCGATGCGATTGAGGCGCTCGTGGATGATGTCGTCCGCGGCTACCACAAAGGATTCAACAAGGCAATCCATAATTATTCCCAGGTCTGGATGGACAGCGTTCTTTCTTTGCTTTCGCTGAGCTCGTGGTCTTTCCGTTTTTATTTCTTCGTTTGGCTTTGTTCTAGATATTGAGATTGTTTAGTGAATCCGCCACAGGCTTGAGTGGCCTCAAGCTACAGCTTGCCGATTGCAAGAAACTCTTGGGTGCTCGACACAAGCAGCTCCAACAACAATGGTACCGTTCTGTTATACTCCGAAATGTGATCTCTCTACTGGATCAAATTGACAATGTTTCAAAGGCTAGTTTTTTTTATTTTCTTCGTCTCTTCTTCTTTGGTTCGTAACATTCCTCGTGTTTTCTGTCTCAGGTTCCAGCAAAAATAGAGCAGTATATCTCGGAGAAGCGGTATTATTCAGCTGTCCAGCTACATATTCAGTCAATAAGCATGCTCGAGCGGGAGGGAATTCAAGGGGTGTGTTTTTCTTTTACGCGTTTCATGAAGTGAAGTATTTTTCTTGGTGGCACAGGTCGGTGCTTTGCAAGACGTGCGTGCAGAGTTTTCAAACATGAAGGGCGTGCTTTTCTTCAAAGTCGTGGAGGATTTGCATTCCCATCTTTACTGTAAAGGAGAATACAGGTTTGTCTGTACGGATAGATGTTGCCCCTCATCGAAGTTGTCTTTTTTTGCTCCAGCACTAGTGTTATCAGGGACAAGAATGCCGACGATGATCTATTAAATATTGATACCATGGTACTTCCTGCTGGAAGTTCGCACCCTTTTTCACGACGGACTAGAACGTTCAAGAAGTCGGAGAATGGTGGTGACGGGAGCGCAAACGGCCACGTCGAAGATCGGCGAAATTCAAGTGATAAAAGGTGCGTGGCATGAATGCAAAGCAGACATCTGATTTTCTTGTCCAGCTCTATTTCTGCCGATAGTAAGGACGAGGAATTGAGCCAGGACGAAAGTGTCGGCAAAGAAAGTATGAAGCCCAAACGAGCGACGCTTGTTTGGCTAGGAGATGCGACCCCTAACGAGTTTGTGGTATGAGAAGTGTGTGTATGTCCTTGATTGATCACGCTGCGTTCTTGTAGGAAGCTATAACCAAAAGTGATGCTACGCTGAACGTGAAATACCTCCAGACAATGGTAGAATGCTTAAATTTGCTGGGAAAAACGGCTGCCGCTGGTGCACTCATCAGGTACATAAGATCATTTTTTCCCCCGTTATTCTTGTTTTCTTTTTTATTTTCTGACTTGCTTGCTACAGCCAGCGTCTTAGGCAGACAGTACATGATTTGATAATCGAGGAAATCAAAGCACACGCAGTCGCAGTTGATGCTTCAAGGCCACGCGTTGAAGTCTCCAAAATATCAGTTTCTCACAAAAATGGCGTGTTAACTCTAGGCCTGAAGAAAGTTCAAGACAGCAAGCATGCAAAGAAGGTGAGGGCTTCATCTGAAGCCTTGACGTCAATTGGGCCAACTGGACCCGGTCAAACGGCTGCGAGGAACCTCGTGGAGCCTGTCCTGGCCATGTTGGCCCGTGTACTAGGTATTGTACTCCATGCATCTTTGGACCTTGTGCAAGCTAACTGTAAAACTTGCAGCAAATCATGTGATTGTTGGAAAGGCTATGGAATCTCACACTGGAGATGATGATACTCATTCTGTGAGTGGATACAACATTGGCTTTGCTGTGACTGTCATTCAGGTAAGTTGTCATTCAAGAGTTGTTTTCTAATTTCCGGTCTAACTTCCTGTTCGCAGAGTGAATGCCAGCAATTTATTTGCGACATACTTCGAGCTAATGCAGATGCTACGCAGACCGATTCATCTGGTCAGGCTGCAAGACAGTCAAAAGTCACTGCAGCGGATAAAAGGTAAGCTGTACTCACGTACTTTTCAAAATTCTTGTCTGATGTCCTCGGTTTAGCAATGCTGGCCCTGATGAAGGATTGTCGTTTACCTTTCGTTTTACGGACGCCATGTCTCTGCCTGGTAAGTTGTAGGTGCTCTGTCTTTTGGACTTCCATAACTGTGATCGGGATCAGGAGCTGTTCCTCGACCTGTTCGTAGGCGCGGATCCGCAAACGCTCAAGAAGGCTTTGGGGTTAGTACAGTACTTAGTGACAGGGGCATGTACCTCATTGCATCACTGTACCGGCCTGTGTTAGAGGTATGGCTACGAGTTTTTCTTTTGTTTATCTGTTCCTCCTTTCAGTTCACAGATGGATTTACGTCCTTGCTTCCAGAAAAATATGCTTCTCTTGGGTGAGTGAGAGTCTTTTACTTTTTCTAGCTCCCTTCTAACCATTGTCTTGCGTAGCAAGGAGGGTTTGCATAATTTTTTGGAGACCTTTATAAAGGACCAGTTTTTACCAAGAATCTACGTGGACTACAGAACTCGTGCTGCAGACGCCCTAGCAAGTAGGCCTATCTTTATATCTTATCTCTTTTCTCTGATGGAGAACTGATGTATTTCTTAGGCTCTGCCGCATTTCGTCTTAAAACGCGTTCATCCGTGACTAAAATGTCCTCCATCGCTTTACTTGGGCCTTCTGTGGCAGATCAGCTAGCTTCTGAGGTATGCTAGCACTGCTCCGTGATTCTCACTACCTGCTCATACAGGTTGTTGCGTGGGCACATGCAATGCCAAAATATGCGCCCGAGTTTCTGGAGCTTGTGCAGACTATTTTGGAGAGGACTCTTGAAAGATGTCGGGCTGCATACACTGAAGTGCGTATTTGTTTCCTTTGATTTTTTTTTACTCTTGTTATCTTGGATTTAGGCCGTCCTGGGTAGCCTGAGCTCCAGCATTATCGGCAGGACCGACGTTGAACAACTCATGCAGCAAGACCCTGCAAGTGTTTTGCTTGAAGCAGATTGCCCTGATCATTATCCGAATGGAGAGGACGTTGAGCTGGAAATGGAGATGAACAATTTGCTTTTGAGTTTGCGGCCTATCAAACATGTAAATATTTGCAGTCTACAGTTTTTGTTCATACCTCAACTTGTTATTTCAGGACCAACTCATACATGGTGATCAGAAGTTCGTTCTTCTGGCTGCTCTCAGCGAATCTTTATCTTCTCTTGCAACTTCGATCCAAAAGTAGGTGACTTTCAAGTACGTTTATCTTATTGCCGTTCTGGAACTTCCTTTACAGTCTTGGATCGCAACAAAAGAAGAATGACATGGCGTCTAAGCGGCCCAGCAATATTTTACCTTCGGGGCTACATAGTCTGATCGCGAAATACCAAGATCTTTCTTCGGAATGCCTTCGGACACTCCGCATTGAAATGCAACTTCAAGCAATACATTATCTACAGGTTTATCATGTGAGCTATGATATTACCGCCTTACATCTAGTGTTGTGCAGAGTATGACCGGGAGAGTCTATGTTAGCGATCACGATGCTGAAGAACCTGAAGATTTCATTGTTTCATTTACTTCTCAGGTAGATATTGTGTATTTATGTCAAACTCAAAACGTTTCCCTTCAGATTACGAGATGGGATGAGGAAATGACTTTCTATATTTCTTCCGCCAAAAGAAATTACGCTTTTGGTGGAATATGTGGAGTTGCCGCGACAGCGTTTGTTAAGGTATCCCTTGACCAGCTTTGTATGATTAACATTTCGGTGTGGCAGGCTCTGAACGACATGAGTTTAGTTAACGTATTCGGAGTTCGACAAATATGTAGAAATTGCATCGCATTCCAGCAAGTAATCATTCTGATGAATCTAAGTTTCATCTACGTGATCTCTTTCTCCACAGGCCTTGGCAGCACTTAGCTCGACAGATGCTGATATGGTGCAACAACGGCTTGACAGAGTCCGAACCTACTATGAACTTCTTACTATGCCTTTTGAGGTAACATCTTATGAGAAATTTCTGTATGTGATGTGTGTGTTTCTTTAGGCTCTTATTGCGTTCGTGAACGAGCACGACTCGGAATTCTCATTCACCGAGTAAGCTTTTTGTTTTCGATATTCTCCAAATAACTATTGGATTTTCTTTTTTTTTTCCAGAGTCTCCAATCTTCTCAAAGTGAATGTGCCAGGCAGAGAAATTCCACCAGATGCTGTGCAACGCATCGGAAAAGTTTTGGCGCCTTGAACAAGAAAAGGAGGGAGTGTACATTAGCTGTTTGTGCAAAGTGTATAGTTTATAGAATTTTTACATTGCATTCATTCTTTCTGCTAAAAGAGGTTTCCTGTGTTTTCTGTTCTTGCACATTTAGTCCCTTTACGCTTTCAAATTGACATCTCGTTGTATTACTTACAGCTCGGAAAGGTTCGAAAGTATCTGGAAATGAATGTTTTTTTTTTCTGTTCAGAACTTCGACGAAGTCTTTCAGGACAGCGACAGCCATTGATTTTCCCGGCGGCTGACCAGTAAGTGCGTGAGCTACTTGCTAACTTAACTCAATTCTTGCTCACAGTGACGACTACATTTGCTCTTTCCGGGTTTATCTACGAGACCCACTTGCAAATGAGTGCGTCTGGAATGGACTACTCTCTCTCCCGAACGACGACTGTCCCGTGCATTGCGTATGTGACCAGGAAGTTCTACTCCTTTAATTCTCAACTTCGGCGATGAGACTTTTGGAGAGCCATGAACACCTGTTTAGCATCTTGTGGAACTCTGACGCTTCTTCTCATAGTTCTGGCAGTTCTAGGAAGCCTTCTCCCTCGACACCACCGCCGAGATCATTCTTTGTGGATTGCTCTTCCTGCTACCTTGGCCCTTGATGCATCAATTCCTGTGGCTACTGTAGATGAACATTTTGTCTGCGCAACAATTGACTGGTGGCCGCAGGGGAAGTGCAATTATGGAAGTTGCAGCTGGTTCCATTCTTCTATACTCAACCTGGTAAGCTTTCCATCAGAATTCACAGCCTTATCGATTGCAATTTTTCAGGATCTTACAAATCGTCTGCTTGCTGAGGCTGTGACAGGTAAATTGTTTTTCCCTGGCGGAAATTCCTGACAGTCTGCATTACAGCGTTGGCTCCACTATTGATACGGCTTGGAGGGTCTTTGGAGGATCAGATCTTTTACGACGTTGGAAGCTCTGCCACGACGACGACTTGCAAGACTTTCACCACTCAGAACCACAGGTTCGGATTTTCTACTGGATGTCTCAATATGTCACGATGGCAGCAACTAAATGAATTCTTTCAGAGAACAGGGTAATAACACCCCCGATGCTGTTTCGAGCAGTCTCAAGTGTTTGAGTTTCACTTCTACAGATCGCTGGTGGCATTCGGTCTAAACGCTTTACACGGGAAAGAACGTATCGATAACACGTTCCAGGGACCTTGGAACTCTAGCAATGCGCGAGATTTCATAGCGTACACGGCCAGCAAAGGCTATCCTATCAAAGCTTGGGGGCTTGGTAAAAGTCAACTGCCTTGGAAGCTATTAAACTGGTTTCTTTTCCTTTTCCATGCAGGCAATGAGCTAAGTAGTAGTTTTAGCGGAGTTACATTGGATTCGAGGAACTATGCAGCAGATGTGGACGAACTCCAACAGACAATTGACGAAATCTATGGAACCGGGCAAAAGCCTGTTCTCGTAGCACCGGATGGCTTTTTTGATGCTTACTGGTACAGCCAAGTTTTACAGCAAACCAGAACAGATCCAGCATTGAGAGCTGTCAGTTTGCACGTCTACGATCTTGGACCAGGTGAATTATATATATATCTCTTCACAGTCTGGTACTATCCAATTGGCACAGGTGATGGCAAAAACATTGCTGCTCGGATACTCAACGCGGCTCACGCCGATAGATATCAGCAAGTCCAGCGCGTTCTCCGCCAGTATGGAAATGGAGCGAAGGCTTGGGTGGGAGAAGCAGGAGGGATTTATAACGGTGGTCAGCACCTCGTCAGTGACGCATTTGTCTTTAGTTTTTGGTATGATAAGTTTTTTTTATGCTTCTTCTTTCCTGGCTATTTCTTTTTCAATTCTAGGTACTTGGACCAGCTTGGGATGGCTGCGCTTCACAACACGGCAGTATTCTGTCGTCAAAGTCTTATAGGAGGTAACTACGGCCTCCTCGACTCAAACTTCAATCCAAATCCAGACTTTTACTCGTAAGTTTTTCTCAAAATCGGTTCAGGACGCTTTACTTCCCTTTCTTCGTTCCAGGGCGCTTCTCTGGAAGAGGCTTATGGGCGAAGTCGTGTTAAATGTGACATCACAAAGTCTCAACTCGTCCAGCTTCCACACATACGCACACTGTTTGAAAAACGCCCGGGTGAGCTCCTTGGTTTGGCTCACTCCTTTCGCTTATTCGAATGTGGAACAGGGAGGAATCGCTGTCCTGGTGATCAACTTCAGCAACAACACACAGGTGGTGCTCGATCTGGGGCTCGAGTCGCAAAAGCTGGAGTACCACTTGAGCTCGCCGGATGGAAACGTCCAGAGCCAAAGAGTGGCTCTCAATGGGCAAGTTTTGGAGGGCGCTAAGAGCGAACTGAAGGCCATTGCGGTGGAGGGATCCAACCCGAGCAAAGTAGCACCGCTCTCGATTGCTTTCATCACGCTCCCAGATGCCTTCGTCCCCGCCTGTACTCTCTAATTTCTAGAGAAATACGAAAATAACTCATACTTGGACGCGAGTTTTTCAGAGAGTCTACCACCCCGCCTCTAGTCTCTTCCGAAAGTCTTATAAAAACCATGTCATAACACGAAAAAGTAATGTTAAGTTGTGAAACACCTCTTCTCCTTTGATGCTTCTTTGTGACAGTGTTATGACAACAGTGTGTACTTGGAAGGAGGCACTTTCTTAAACTAACACACACTTCTCTTGGTCCCAGCCATGGCGCCTATATAGCTCAGAGTGTTTTTGTTAAAGAAAAAAGCTTCATCCTGCTCGCTTTCTCCCGCCAGGATCAATCCAGCCTACTATGCAAATCTCATCGCCCCAGTTGATGACTGGTGCTTGGAGTTTCTCACTCTGCTGCTTCCCATCACGAAATACATCGCTTGGTTCTTCGTTGCGGACAATGGAATGGACGATCCTCACATCTGGCCTACAATCTGGTCTATGAAGGGAAGTACGAGCAAGCAAAGGCGGTGCTGCTGGACAGCCCGGATCTTTCTCGCCAGATCCGGGTATTTTGGGATGTCATGGACGAGCTCAAGATCTTCATGACCAAAGTAATGTTCTGCGGATCCATGATCAAGGCACTGGGCATGTTCGAGGTGGAGCTAAGCTGGATCCACAAGCAAATCACCCCCAGCGTGAGCACTTACATGTGGCTGAGAGATGTCTCTTCTGGAGTTCTTTCTTGATTTCGTGCAGGGCTTGAAGCTCCTTCAACTATGGCAAAGATTTCCTTTTTGGCTTGTCCAGAGCTAACTGCTGTCCAGCTCCAGAGCTACTACATTATGATTGTCAACGACTTTTTCTCCTTCAGAAAAGAATGGAACTACCTCAACATCGTCCCCGCCGTGGCTTACAATCTAAACTTGGGAATCAACGATGCAATCACAAAGGTGGCAAGCATGATAGCCATCCACTCCTCCGTTCCCGCCAGGTACTCCATAACACCATCCTTTTTTGTGCGAACTCCTTTTCCAACTCCCGGATCAGGAAATAATAGCAATGGTCGTGGCAAACAACACGGTACAATGGCCTAGGCTGGATTCCTTCACCAGTAAAGTCCGCCAACTTTGTCCTTGAAAACGGATGATTTCGTGCCTGTTTGAAGGTAAAAACAAAAATAAGTTCCATAAAGCCATCAATAAAATCAAAATCCGGTACATATGGATGTGTTAAATGGTCGAATTGTCAAGCATGTTTTTCACTGATTTGCTCCTCAGCACGTCGATGCCAAATAGCCATTGTAATCTAAAGCCATCCAAAAGTCTGAGAGCTGGTGCTGGGCCTCGGATTTCAAGTAGTATTTGTGTAAGCGGCAGACGTTCTCATGAAATGAAGATCTCAGCTCTAGAACCTGGTAATATGAGTAAGGATACCGCTCGAGAAGGATGAAAAGAGACTCCCTACCCTTGAATACAATTTGTCGATGCAAATTTTGTCATCCTCCCAGCTCCTAATGTTCTTGAGAGACGAGCGAAAGTCGAGCAAGCACTGCATTATGTTGTCCGTGCATAACTTCACTCCTGTGTGCTCCAGAGAAAGGAAACATCTACACGCAGGACAGCAGACGACATTAAAAAAAAGTCTCGTTTTTCTTCGGTGCTTACTGATGGACTGCGTTGGTTAAGTACTTGTGGTGGACTACCTCCAAGTCCTGCATGTCTTTGATCTGCTTAAAACGTCGGCATTAGGTGAAGAACCTTGCAGTACGTTTATTCTATTTACCTCGTGTTTGATAGCATGAAGAAACTCGCCCCAAACAACATGTAGAAGCTGCGAATGTACGTGACACTGAAAGGCTGTGACAAAATGCCCAATTTGGTGCCTGGAAAAAGAAAAACAAAGCCTCAATGAATTAGCGATGAAAGTTGTTAGAAAGCACCTAAAAAGTTGAAGAGCTCGGAGTTTATCCGTCTGCTGCTCCGAAGACCTCAGTCGACGCATAGAGCGCTCCACTGCCTGAAATTAAAAAGACAAATGAAACGTCGGCCATACTACAAGAACGAAAACATGCGCACTTACTTGTAGCGAGCTGCTGATTTCTCCGAGGGCGAAAACCGCGTGCCTTACACGAAGCAACAATCTGAAGATCAGATTGTACAAGCACAAAGCGTCTGCTGTGAGAATAAGATTAAGTGGCCAATCCACATGGTAGCCAAGCTCAATGAAATCGTAAGCCTCCAAACCTGTGCATGCAAGAGTTTTAAACAGCTGCAACAGCTAAAAGAAAAAGTTTGAATCTTACTGTTGTGGTTGACAAAGGCATCGTCTTGGCCCTCGGATATGCTGCAAATATGCAGTCTTTCGGCATAACTATCTCCATCACACGAGGATTTTTGTAGAGCTGTTTCCAGCATTCCTTGAACTTCGACAATGTGATGTTGTCGTCGTGAGAGGCCCCACTTCTGCTCAAAACGAAAAGCTGCAAATGTAAAAGGTAAGCAAATAAAATGTGTAACGTACATGGGAGCAAAGCGCAGTGATGAAATTATCAGCCCAGTCTCCAACCTCCATGAAATAATAGCGTCTCAGCGCGAGGTAATGGTCTTGAAGGTGAAGGTGGTCCTGCAATAGTCTTACTGTGAAAACACTCACCAATCGATATCTACATCCTGTTAAGTGTGAGATCTGAGAAAAAGAAGAAACGAAACTGACGAAAAGGATACTGCATAAGGATCTCGTCCGTAATGCTCTTCTCCACGGCCACGCTGATAGGAATGTCCGAGCCAGCTCTTTCTTGACGGCATCCAGGAAGCGTGGTTTTGTGCTGTGTAGTCATTTTGAGTGCTGAGACCCACGAACCACCTCCTTGAGGACTTGAGGACTTTTCACTTCTTACTTCATCAGGGGAGCTAGTTTCCGCAGGCTGTAGCTTGACGCTCTCTTCCACACTTGCTGGAGCTCTTCTTATAGCTGGTAAGTTGTCATCTTTAAGTAGAATGCTTGCGGCATCGATGTCAATCTTCGTGGCCTTGGTCAAGGATAGAAGTCCCACTTGTGATAGCTCCGGAATGAGCTTCTTCGCAAGGCTGTTCTCGTTAACGAGGGTTGATCTTATATCCCAGCCATCAGCAGTATTCGCGAAGATCGTGGAAATGTACTCGTTGATATTCCCTTCGCCGCAAGCATAAAATGGATTTCTTGGCAGTCCAGCATTTGGTGTCGTAAGTAAAGATGAGATGCTTAATGCACGATCGGCCGAGGAACCCGATTCAGGAGGAACTTCGCTTGCGAAAAGACTGTCCTGCGTGTGTGGTTGTAAAAAGCTCTCGTCACAACTGACAGTTTCCTGCTCAGAGCTAGCACCAGTATCACTGTCGTGATTGTCATTGCTGTCCTCGCCAAGTCGCGGAGAGTCCACTTCAGCAGAAGTGGCGGTTTCATCAGTAGTTCTGTTTAAGAGAAAAAAATTCAAAGCACAGTTTACTGATAAAACCACAAAGACTCACGTTGTTTCTAGCTCTGATTCCGAGTCCTCTGAAGCTGTTGCTGATGCTTCCTCCTATATAAAAAAAAAAAAGTTTGGAATAAAGATAAAACTATAGAACGCCTTACCAATTTTATGGGATACTTGTCACCAAAAAATTTACGGTAGTGCTCTGCAATCGTCTCCGCTCGATGCTGCCTCTGCTTGAAAACTTGCCTGAGGCCTTTCTTGTCAAAGGCCACAGATAAAAAACAAGAAACCTGCCCTTCCATGTCTGTCTCGTCACTTGGCATGGAGCCTTGAAACGCAGAGCTCAAGGCCTGGGCAAACTCACGCGTCTCTGGAAGCTTTAGCAGGACTTCTAACTGTTGTGCTGTACGCAGCATTTGAGAAGATACGTCCACCAGAAAAACAGGAGTATTGACGCCTGTCCGGATCTAGAGGATGGAAAAATCACACACAAGCTTGGGACGTGATGAAAAGAAATCCGGACCTTCAAGCTACTTTTCATGGAGTTCTCCACTGGCTGAGATCGCCGAGGCCTTGACGCTTGCTCCAGAATAAACTCTCCATGCGGGTCCTTTAGATCAGCGCAGTATATGCACGATCGCACGAAAAGCGCATATGGCTCGTATGTCCGAGCAAACAAGAAGCGGAGCACTTCTAGATGCACCGGATCAGGTTCCTGGAACGATGAAAGAGAAATAGCAAAGCAAGAAAAAAGTGAACCTTACGAGCAACAAGTTGTAGAGAAGAGTGAGCAAGTCAGCTCCCTTCGGGAAAGCCTTGAACTTCTCCAGCATATCATTGCCGGTGGTGGAAAACGCTGCTTTCTCCTCCTCGCCATCGCCATCTATGGAACAAATCCTCGTGAGAGCCTGTAGCTGCACCCTCAGCTCCTCGGTGTGGAGATAGAGCTCCACAAGGCTCTGAGCACTGCTGCGATCAAACCGAAGATTCAAGGCGGCCGAGTGTCCGTGCAAGATGGTCCTCACAGCAGAAGCAAAAGCCTGATTCAAGAGCGGACAAGCGCCGCCAGCTTTCCTCCTGTGGAAGCCGAGGAAGAAGTCTACAAACCGATCGAGCTGGTACCTGTGCCACCCCGCTCGAGCGAAACACGAGAGTAGCTTGGCCAAAGCGCTGGCGCTGGACGAGAGCCGCCAGAGAGTGGCGATGTTGTGAGCAGTCTTATCGGCAGCTTGCAAGGCAAAGGCCGCGGCGAGGGAGCGCAAGGCTGTGATCGCGGAGGGAAGTCCCTGGAGAGCATGTAAAGAGTCCTTGACGAGCTTTGCCTCCTAGAATCACATTTTCTTCGCAAATTATACTAGATACTAAAGGATACAAGGAGCTTACACTGGAACAAGGAGACGACGGCCGCGGCGCGTGTTTGATCGCCCCACGGATGGCGCAAAACTCGCCGGGCTGCTCCCAGCAGTGTGAGATCTTCGGCGCGGAAGTCTCGAATCCGACCTGGATCCACATTTCTTCCTCCCGCATTTTTGCTAAACCCTAATTCTAGCTGGGAATTTTAGTGGTGCAACGTATAGTTCTAAGCTTGAATATTTATTTGATCGCCAATGCTCCAAACAAGGAATCCTCGTCAGCTTGCAGCCTAGCTCAAACTCATCATACCTGTTCGTGTGGCGTTCATCCTCCTTTCTCGTTGAGTTGAGTGTCCTAAGGGACGGGCAAAAAATCACTGCTTTTGCATATTCATCTAAGTGCCCAATCCCCTGTGCTCAAGTCGTAAACAAACATGATCCCAGATTGGCCTCTGCATGAACAGAACAACGGAAAACCATTCCGACAGAGCGCTGCCCAGCGTACACTTGATCAAGGATCGATTTATGGGTCTTTGCAGAGACGGCAACCAAGCCACCCTTGTCGTCAACCTTCCACACGCCATAGCCATCAACTCCGGACTCCCCTGCCTCGCGGTTGCCTCCCGCATACACCCAGGCACTTGCAAAGTATCGCTGGCCATTGTACTCCCACGGCCTCGCGGTGCACAGTCCCGGGAGCGGCAAAACGCAGCGCAGGATCTCTTCATCTGGGTCAACCTTGTCTTCCAGGCCCGTTATAATCCTGCCTACGGCGCAGCGGCTCTCAGATTACAGCGTGGACTTGGCGCCCTTGGGAAGAGAAGACCACGAGCGCGTTGCCGAGTCGTAGATGCAGCACCAGCGACCCGAGAAGTCGACAGCGGTGGCAGGACAGAGAAAGCGACTTTGAAGCCATTCTATGGAGCGGTGGTAGTTCGCTCCACCCTTGGGTCACTGGCTTCCCCACCACCAGGTGAAACACAATCAATCATGCCCAATGTAGCCAGGTCCACATAGCTGAGAACCGTCTCCAAAATGTCGCAGCACAGTCTATGATCGTAGCAAGACGTCCTCTTAGTTTCTTCTTTCTAAAGAAGTTATTCCCCGTTATTAACCTCCTCACTGGCTTGTGCTTCTCAACTCTGCCGTCTCATTGAAACTGAGCTTCTCATAAATCTTTCCAATCCTGATTATCTCCCTCTTTATGCTCAATCTCATCTACTGAGGAGACATCGAAAGTGTTCATTGTAAAGTCATGGCGTGATAAACATCCACCTGTGACGTTCCTCCAGTCAGATTGAACGTAGAAAACACACAACTTACGTGAATCAGGCGTGGAAGTCTTCCATGCTGGCCAGCCAAACTGATCCCAGAGACGTAATACTGTAAAGAAATGAGGACTTTAGTCATTAGTGGTCATGTTTTTTCTATTTAGTCGCGGACCTTTTTTTTTCCTACCAGGACAGGGATCTCATGACAATCATCCTCGAATGCTGCCTTCAAGAGAAAGTTTTCAACACATTTCTACTGTCTCATGATTCACAGATTCTAATTACAAGAAAAAACCAAAGAACCTTCGTAGTTATTTTCCAACCTTCTGGTGGCACCATTCAATTCCACTCCCTAGACTAAGTGTTGAGTTACAGAATCATGCAACATCTCTGACATGAACATACTTTCTAAGCTGCTGAAATATCCCACCTCATCATCAAAAACAAATAAAATCCCTTCTTGTTTATCATATTGCTAAAGGTCCTTAAGAATCAATAGAATTCTTATAAGAAAAGGATCATAAATTACCATGTAAATCATACTTATCAGTATCTATCACTATAAATTGTTGGCGACAAGGTGATAAGGCGGACAAAGAGAAGAGCTTCTTCATCCCGCCAGTAACCCAATCTGGCTTACAATGCAAATCTCATTGCCCAAGTCGACAACTGTTTCTTGAAGTTTCTGCCAGAGCAAGTTCTCAAGAGCTATGTCTTCCCGAGCTTTCCAGCTTGCGCACTGCTAATATATCGCTTTGACGATATCCTCACATCCCGCCCTCGTACATTGTTTTGTCCTATAAGCTGGCTCGACATGGAGCTAAGCTGGATTCTCATCCTCAGCATGAACACTTACATCTGGCTGAGAGAAATGGCTGAACCGTTTATCGATTTCATGCAGGGCTTGAAGCTGGCAGGAGATGCTTCTGCTTCAGAGATTGGAATCCACCACGTTATGATTGTCAACGACTTGTTCTCCTTCAGGAAAGAACGGGCCACTAGGAACTACCTCAACATCATCCGGCCTTGTTGTGGCTTACAATCTAAACCTGGAAATCAACAATGCAATTGCAAAGGTGACAAGCATGATCCAGGAGCTGGAAGAGGAGTTCACACAAAAGAAGAGAGAAATATAAATGGTCTCTGTGTCAAGGATGGTGTTATGGAGTACCTGGCGGGAATGGAGGAGTAATATAGAATGGTCGTGGCAAACGGCACGTAGGCTGGATTCCTCCACCAATAAAGTCCGCAAGCTTTTCCCTTTGACTCGATTATTTCGATTGTGTTCCTATGTTCCTCCTCGTTCTCTTTAGATAGCTCGCAGTGGGCTGAATGCTACTGTCCTCCACAAGCATCTCTACAAGCTCTGGAGTATCGGGCCCAAAATTGGTCACCCGAGGCCCCCAGTAGTGATTCATCCTCATCTCCTCCTCCTCCGCCACGATCGTCGCCCCAGTCCCCATCGAAAACATGTGTGCGTCGATGCTCGTCGCGCTCTCCACCAGCGATGGCCGAAAGATTGGCTTCTGTCGGCTGCGAGAACCCGCAATCCTACCCTCGGTCTCACGTTTTCTTCTCTGGTACCGCTCGATCATCCAGTTCCCGGGATCTCCCGCTGGATTCCCCACGAAGAACATACACTGGAGCAAGATCTGGGACACTTCGCTCGTCTCCGCTCTTCTTTGCACGAATCTGGCCAGAAAGGCCGGGAATGTGTCCATGGGCGAGAATGGGTACTCGTCCACATCCATCTCAAGCGCCCAAACACTCGATTGATTGTAGTTCGCAAGGAAATGAGCGTAGGAATTCTCCTGCTCGTAATGGCAATCCGAGCTCTCTAGCATCGGGAAGAGCGAGTAGAAGCGGTGGTACGTGAGAGCACCGGATTCCACATAAGGCCGGAGATTTTCCTCCTGTGACTCGGATTGACCGTGGGCGGTATCATACCAGTAGATGTGCTCCACACCTGCGCTGCCCATGAATTCGATCCACTGCCGGCACTCGAAGGCCGTGATGTTGAAGAGATCCGCTGCGAATACCCTGTTAACAATCACCGCGACGAGAAAGAAGCCGTCACCCTCGTGTAGATTGATCATTAGACGGGGGCTCGATTTGTTGCCAAAGCGGACGAACTCGAGCTGGGAGATCACAAGAAAAATGAGCCACGCTGCCAAAAGTAGCATCCATATTTTCCTATTGATCGTAGTGTTGTTGCTACCATTGCCATTCATTGATGATGATCCCAGACGCACCATGGCGTAGACTCTTGCTTAGATATTTAGTCAAGCTAAATCTGATTGCCTAACTCATCGTTGTTGGTCGCAAAATCGAATCTTAATGAAACAGCAGATTTGCTGATTATAGTCCCAAGAAACATAAAACTTTATCAATGCAATGCAATTGAATTTAGCCCACACCTCTTCGGTCCTTCTAAATATGATAGACCACGCTGCTTTAACACTTAGGGAACATACAAACCAATCGTTGAACTATCACTCTATTTACTTTGTTATCCTTCTATAGCTGTTATTGTTTTAGAATATTTTAAGAATACTATTTGTAATGGTTTAACAACAACAATATTTTATGATATCAACAACAAAATATTGACACAAAACATTAGAGCATAGAGTGTGGAGTGATTTTAATTTATGTTTTCTCTTTTAGTTATCTTTGAAAAATATAAAATTTCCTTTTTTTCTTAAGGCACAAAGCATGCAAAGATGGTGTGTTACTTTAACCATTAGCTTTGGACATAACAACCTCATAATGGCAAGAAAAGAAGCTAAAGAATCAATGAAATTTTTATCACTCTTTCACTAAAACATTTACTATTGATTATTGCTTCCCAAAATCACTCTAAAGAAGTATATAATGAAAATTTTCACGAGTGAACAATGCGTAAACAAGCATTATGGATTTTAAAGAGCACTGAATAGAGTATGAAACATAGATTATAAAGTAGATTATATAAAATTTTACATTAGAAAATAAAGTATATAATTTGCTTTTATCCCTCATCATTTTTGGTGTGGTGACTATGGAATTGTTTTGAGTTTTCTTTTTTTTAATTTCTTTTACCTTTCCTTTTCTACATTTCTAAAAGTTATGAAAAATAAGTGGTCAAATAGAGTTTGATCAAAGTGTTATTCTAAACCATCATCCCTCACTAAATCATAATTTGTAGTTAGGTTTTTTTTGTCTTCCTGAGGAGTTACAAGTTAAAATTCTTTACTTAATCTTTAAAAAACTTCACTTATTTGTTGAGAGCAATAAAAGTCCCAAGTTATCCTAATTCCATTTTCATTGAAAATATAAAATATTATCTTTACTTTTTCAAAAGTCTTAAAAATGAAAGGTGATTGAGAAAGTGCTCTTAGATATTTCTAGGTTGAGTTTGTGATATTAAATTTAGCTTTTGGACTTGGCTTATAAGTGGATGCCATGTAAACAGTAGGGATTAAATTTTTATGCTTGTGAGGAAGATATTTAAAACAATGATAGACTAAAAAATATCTTCATTAAATATATAGATTGGATATATAAGTGATAGTGATAAACAATTTTGGAATAAATCTTTTTATTGTTTGGCCTATTCAAAATTGTATATTAAAGTCTTGTTTCCAAGATCATGTTTAATAATACAGTTAGCATCATTCAAGAGAATTTGACTTTGAAATTCTTTTAATCATTGTCAATATTCTCATAAAGCATCATGAATTGAGGAAAGCTTGGTTACAAATCTGTTACATAGAGTCACATTTGAAAATGTATATCATTACAACAATAATTTGTTATAGATTCTTGAATTTAGAGTTCCCAAGAGGTCACTTAATTGAGTTTAAATGGGATTTAAATTAAGTTTATAAGAGTTCAAATATAAAAGGAAAATGCCCATGAATAAAAATACACTTACTTTTCCAATTAGTTAAGGGTTTTAGGAGAATTGGTTAGGATATTTGAGGTTAAGCAATACTATTCAAACTTAAAGATATATAACCCTAAATATCTTAAAACCTTTAAATGAGGTGCATTTTTATTTATGAGTTTTTTCCCTCTATATTTAAACTCCAATGCTCCCTTATACCGTTGTCCTAAAAACCCCACTTTCTTGATCAGCCCTTTCCTTTTATAATTAAATTTTAATAAATCATCTTTCAAAGCATTCTCTTTAGCTGCTTACATTTGTCTTATAGCAATTCAAAAGAACCTATAGCAAAGATTTTTTAGTGCATTCATTCTTTTTGTGGTCTATATATAATTTTAAAATCCTCCTTTGGTGTAACTTATGAAATGCAATTGTTAATGTGGCAAGTGAACTTTGAGGGAGTGTTCAACTTAAAAAAGAAAGTAGCTAGTATTAGAGTTATTTTCACTAATCTAAAAGGCATAAAACACATATTGGATAAATTGTTATAAATACCCACACTTACAACCAAGATGAGTATGCTACTTTGATTCAAGAATTGAAGGATGCAAAAGTATTAAGAGCTAAAGATGTGGTTATTATAGGAGATTTGAAGGTAATTATGAATTAAGTGAATGGGAGTTAAGCATTTCTATCAAAAGATGGTCTATTCCTTCAAAATCAAACACATTGTAATAAGGAACAACTTTGAAACAAATTTGCTAGCTCAAGTTGGTAATAGGAAGTCATAATAACTTAAAGCTTATCATAACAAAGTTAGTAAAAATTTCTTAGAGTGGAGAAGATTCTAAAATTAATTTTATAGTGTTTATAAATATTTGAATCTTAAAGTTTTTTACTTTTTAGCATTTATATCTAGTGCCCAAATTGATCCCTACAAATTCAGGGCAACAAATGACACAATGAATGATTACACTGTCCTAAACATTTGCCAACCAGCCTCAACTTCCTCCCTCCCCATGGAAGGTTTGCTTTGAACTCTTGATTGGACTGATCAATCAATTGGTGGAACTAGGGAATTTGCACATATGGATGTTGAAAGGTTGAGAAGCCTTGTCACACACAATCCAAATAGCAAAAGCAAAACATTCTTATACAGCCATTCCCCTCTTCTTTGTGGATTAGGAGTTTCTGAGGATGGGATGAAATCACACAATTACTGCTGGAATCTTATGAGTGATGGAGTTAAGGCCACCAGCTTGGATCATTTGCTATACTCTCCCTACTTGGTGCCAATTTTAAGCTCATTTACTTAATTTGGTTTACCATTTTTCATTTCATGGTTGTTCACAAAAGAGTAATATTGTGCCTCTCACTAGATCACTCTTTGATTGTAAGAGACTATCCTTTTTATACCATTAGATTTCTGTAATAGACTAAGCATTCAGACTTTCATAGTGGAGATCTCTTATTAACCACAATAGCTAAGACTGCACTCCTATTATTGGGAGAGTCAGAGATGGCACAAATTGCTTTAAAGGCCAGATGATGGTATGGAGCTTAGTTACCTCCCTACCACCCTTCTACTCCACCCTGCTTTGTGTTCCATCTATCCATGATTGTTAGTAATGGCTCAAATCCTATTTTTGGTTTGCTTTGATATACCTAAATTATATTTAGATATTCTAGAATATTTTACCATCTAATGGTTGTTATTCATTTAGTAAATATTAAATTAATTCAAACTTAGATTAATCTTGTATTTATAATTTATAAATATGTTTATAATTTATGAACTTCCTTAAACACTTTCTAGTATATTCTTGTTTATTCTACCATCTAATGGTTGATATTCAGTAAGATTAAATCTTGATTTATAAATTATAAACATGTTTATAATTATTGATCAATTGGATTATTTAAATAATACTAAATAGGAATGACACTAATATTAAGCAAACCAAGCTGCATGCAATTTGTAGTAAATTATTATTAAATTTGAGAATATTTGTTTAATCTATAGTTATTTTTTATTTTAAACATGTATAATAATAATAATCTTAACATTTTAACTTTTATTTTTCAATCCCTAATCAAGGTTTAATGTTCTAATACAATCTGTGCTAAGTTTTTAGTAGATTGCTCCTCCTTCCCAGTTCTTTCCACAGTCAATCACAGTAAGCTTAACAAAAGTCATCTTTAGCTGCATGGATCCAACTACCTGGAAATAGTGGACTAAGAGCTAGATAATTGAGCAATCCCTTCATATTGAGATTGCCTTGTTGTAAAGCATCTAAAGCTCACGATTCTCCCATGGGGTATCATCTTCTTTGTACTGTTTATAGTGCAAGTCATCTTTTTTATTCTTTTAAAAGCTTTGTAGTTAAATAGAATATATCAAAATCTAGGACTAGCTGGAAGAAGTCCCAAGAATGTTATATTTCTCTACTTTTAAATTTCAAATTAGTAAGGATTGGGTACAACTGATTTTAAAAATTAATAAATATAGATTATTTTTTCCTCGCATCAAAGAAAATCTGCTCTTTCTTGTGCTTTTTTTCAGCACACGAACTTGTGTCAAAAGCCTACTACCAAAGAAATCATAAAGCTTTTGATTCCAACTAATCTGCTCAGGCTGGACCCCATCCAAGGAATAACTTTGCGTGAACTTGAAATACTTTACCATTGCTGATCATATCAACATTTATCTAAAAAGATTTAAACTTAAATAATAATCAAGGTTTAATACTACTTTTTTTAATTAGGTTGGTTCGCTCTAGTAGGTGAAAAAAACTCAAACAAAAGAGAAAGAATCAAGCATGGTTGTAGCTTCTAGAGCATGATAGAAATATGAAAACCAAGTCGAATAACACTCCACAAGCACGTGTATATCAACAGTTCTCAGTTCTTGCAGTGACTCACAAGCTAAGTAAATCCTTGAAAACCATCACATTGGGAGGTGTAGACACGTGGAGATGAACAGAGAGATCCTTGCGCATGGAGACACCCCAGACACAAAGTACTGCAACATGATTAGCAGGACGAAACGAGATCCACCTCAAAAGAATGACAATGGACATTGAGCGTCCAAATCATGATAGCATCACGTTATGCAACTTCTAACATGCCTTGTTAAGAACAGAAGAAGTTTCAGAGATAACTAGCCTCAAATGTTGGGAGTGCAACTGCCTCTATACAGTTCCAAAGTAAAACCACGAGTAAAACATTCAGTTTTGGAGCTCAAACATCTCATCTGGAGCATCATATTAGATTAGCAACTTTGGAGCACCACGTTAGCTCCTGCTAAGATGCATTTTAAACCCCTTCTCTTCATGAGATGGAAAAAATTTCTTTTGAGAGTTGGTTTCCTACATTATGTTAGTAGAAGTTGAATAAAAATGTTATCACCAGCATATTAAACATAAAAAATTAATAGCGCAGCAAATTATTTACAAATTATGATACAAATCCCTTTAGTTTGTGTGGTAAAGTAAATGCCTTTGTGGACATCATCGCTTGTTCCTTTCAAGCACGGAAAACATAAAAGAGCACTTGACAAATGGTGGTTTGTGGTGCCCCAGCATGCTTGTGGGACAACTACGTGCTATTGTTTTTGCGTAAAGTTTTTAAAACCATTAGAGCGTTGTTGTTTCTTTTGCTTTGAAGAAATAATATGTCGAACTATAAACCTCAAGCCGGAGTAAAATGGTTGAGCTTCAAGCTTTCCACGCACTCTTTAAGGTTGTGTTCCAGGCTGTGGAAGCGAAGGCCGAGCTCCTCTTGCAGTTTCCTGGTGGAGATGGCATATGGAGTGGCCTTGGGAGATCCATTGTCTTCACATCTGCTCACAAGATCAAAGCGTGATCATCTGGATCAATCTGCGATTTATAACTTACTCTGTTGGGATTGGATACTCTGGATAGAGCTTGCGCAGCGTTTCGACCACGTCTTCGTAGTGAGTAACCCTCTCCACGCACAAGTACCTCCCGGAAGCATTTGGATTCTCGTAAGCTAGCAAGTGAGCCTCAGCAACATCTCCAACTCCCACCCATCCCAAACAAGCATTTGAGTAGTGTGTTTTGCTACCTGATCGAAGTCATGATCTTGAAACCACAAACAATAGAAAAAACACTTTTACCATTGATGAGTTTAAGGATAATCTCGCAGCTGGTGTTCAAAGTAGGCTGCAGGAGCGGTCCAATTACCATGGCAGGATTTATAGTCACCAGGTTAAGTCCTTTCTCTTTGGCAAACTTCCACGCTTCTTGCTCAGCTAGTGTCTTCGAAAGAATGTACCAGGCCTGCAGAAGGAAAGCAAATGGAGAATTGTCCAGGAGAGGCCTTTCTTACCTTCATCTCTCTGCAATAGTCGGGGTCGCTAAAGCAAGACTCATCGACGACCGTGTCGGGCGTTCTCTTGGGATTATACGCCACTGCCGCAGTGGACGACGTGACAACCACTTTGGCGACCGAGGGGCTCCGGGAACACGCCTCGAGAACATTGAGAGTTCCTTGTACTGCTGGCTGGATGAGCTGACGCTGCGATCATTATACAACACACAAAAGGAGTGAGAAGGAGCGAGAATTCTTTGAAAACTTTCTCAAAACTTACTTCCGGGTCAGCCACGCCTGCCAAGAAGAAAGGAGAGGCTGTGTGGAAAACACCCTGGCAGTCTTTTACCACATCATTGAATGCGCCGTCCTTGAGAAGATCGGCCTCGACGAGCTCCAATCTCTCCTCCGCGCCAGGCAGGCCTCGCAAATGCGATGTTCTGCTCGGATCGGCTGGAAACAATCGATCAAAATCTCGCTCCTATCCTATCTCTGGCTAGATTTCGCGCTTACTCAAGCTCCGCACGGTGCCGCGCACCTTGTAGCCGCGATCCAGCAGCAGCTTCACCAAGAACGATGCGATGAATCCCGACGCGCCGGTCACGCACACCAGCCCCTTGCCCTTGTCCATCGCCGCTCGACTCCCCTGTTCTAGGGCATTCACTCCATCCTCGCTTTTCAAAAGCTCGTAGTCGCGAGAAAAATATTCATTAATCATGCTTTGGCACCAAATGTCGGTGAAGTCTAGTGGTGAGTATCTCCGCCTGTCATGCGGAGGACCCGGGTTCGATCCTCGGTGAAGTGGAAAATGGTACTAATTAATCCTGTTTTGGCAACAATTTCCGCGGAGGACCCGGGTTCGATCCTCGGTCAAGTGGAAAGTTTTGTTAATAGATGAATGGATCTCCATCCTCTGGATTGCTGCGGACCACCAAACAAAGAATTGACAAGGAGCCAGCGGTCGCAACTGCAAACAAAGCCTCTTCCACTGGAATATAGAAACATGCCCAACCGCGGACAAAGGCTTTTCCGCGGGAATAAAAGCTGCGCATTGGAATAAGTAGCGGCGAAGATGATAGAAAAATTACCAGAATTTTGCAAGCTGGACCATGGCAAATGTGACATAACATGGCTACTTCCAAAAGAACCGCTTAACTTAAATCGCCCATCTCTCTTGCTTTTGCGTTTCCTCCTAAGAAAACGAAAGCTTTCCAAGGGTCAAAGTTTCGCACCAAGCAATATAGATATCGAAGGTACCTGCGATTCCTTTCTTATGCTTGAAAAGTCGTGCGCGCTAACTCTTGCGAAGGAAGGAATCAGTTCCGCAGCAGCAATCCGACAAGTCGCTTGGAAGTCATGAGGTGCGCCAACTGATTGAGCTGGTCCGCGGGCCAAGGAAGTAATCGTCCAAGCCGACCCTGACGCAAAGGCCAAGACTGTAGATGACGATGACGATTGCTCACCAGCAACGCCTACAGGAAGAATGAGAGTTACTTTGAAGGAACACAAGGAGAAATGACGAAGGAAAGACTTATCTTGACAACGAAACCAAAGGTACCTCTGCTTCTCAAAAAATTCTCTTTCTGGAAGCGGAAAAATTAGCTAGAACGGGAGAAAAGGAAGGCTGCCACACTTACAACACTTTGTTGTATAGTCATGTACATGAGAAAGGTGGGTCATGCCATCAGGCTCTTCATCTTCACTGCAAGCGGAAAAGATGAAAAAAAGAAAAAAAAAGAGAAAACGTAAGGTTTTGAGCAAGGGGAAAATAAAAAAGAAAGTAGACAAGGGGTTTTGGTGACGGCTGTTCCGAGTCACTCACTTGTTTGCCTGCATTTGCTTGTCACATGAAAATCCGCCATATAGTATCCATTTTTCCAAGGAGCCACTCGAAAGGGGCCAATATCGGTGTTTTCTCTCTTCTTCGAGCGATGAATTCAACCTCCTCTGTCCTTCTTCCTCTCCAGTTGCATCACCTATAGTGCTGCAGCCATCAAAAGTATCAGTCATGCAACACCCGGCTCTTGCAGCTCTTTTCATTCTCGCAAATGTCGCTTACCAGGGAGTGCATTCGCTCGAGATGCAACGAGTTGTTCTCCAGATCAACACCACCTCTCCAGTGGCTCGAATCAGCGAGAACTTCATCTGTGCGACGCTCGACTGGTGGCCACCCGAGAAGTGCGACTATGGATACTGCAGCTGGGGGCGAGCCTCGCTTCTCAATCTGGTAAGCACAGAAAACAGAGCACTCGCTCAATGCACAGCAAAAAGCTAGATTGAAAATCGACTTGCCTTTTTCTGTCTCCGTCCAGGATCTCTGGAATCCAAGGCTGGTTAACGCTGTCAAAGGTGTGAGCTTTTTCCACTGGAGATGCTGAATTCGATGCTTGACACTCGTTTTTCCAGGATTGTCTCCATTACTGCTGAGACTGGGAGGATCACTCCAAGACCAGATTATTTACGAGGTTGGTGTCAGGCCGGGGCCATGCTTACCGCTTCAAAAGCAGCCTTCAGCCATGTTTGGATTCACAGGCGGATGTCTCAACATGTCCCGATGGACGGAGCTAAATTCCTTTTTCGAAAAGACAGGGTGAGTCGTGATTGCAGAAAAAGTGAAAGCGAAGTTACCTGTGACTGAGATCTGCGGAAATCCTCATCTCGTCTTCACAGGGCTCTGGTGGCTTTCGGTCTGAATGCCCTCTACGGAAGGACCAAGTTCGGAGACAACGGTTTCAAAGGATCATGGGAGTCCTCCAATGCCAGGGACTTGATGAAATTCTCTCTGGACCATGGCTTTCCAATCGTAGCTTGGGAACTCGGTAAGTGATATCATCTGCTGCTTTCTCTGTCCGAACGCATGCTGACTCCTCGGAGCTTCAGGAAACGAGCTAAGTGGAAGCGGGGTCGGAACCAGCATTAGTGCCAAGCAGTACGCGGCCGACATCAAAGAGCTTCGTTCCGTCGTAGATCAAGTGTATGCGAGATCCACCATCAAGCCTCAAGTGGTAGCACCGGATGGTTTCTGGGATTACGGCTGGTTCCATGACTTTCTCCAAAGCACAGGGCCCAACGTCGTCAACGCCTGCTCCCATCACATCTACAACCTCGGACCTGGTAATCAGAGCATCACGCATCAGAGACGAGAAAAAAAGAGAAGTACAGAAACACTAAAACGGGATTAAAACATGTTTCTTGCGCCTGTAGGAGTTGACACACACCTCATCGAGAAGATAGTCAGCCCGAGTTACCTTAGTCAAGAAGCAGGGACCTTTGAGGGAGTGGAGAAGCTGATGAAAGCGTATGGAACCGAGGCCTGGGTTGGAGAAGCCGGAGGAGCATACAACAGTGGTCACCACAACGTTACCGACAGATATGTCTTCAGCTTCTGGTAAGAAAAGAAGATATTGGAAACCGTTAGAACACTATCTAATACTTGCGAGCTTACAGGTACCTCGACGAGCTGGGGATGTCTGCATACTACAATACCGCAGTGTACTGCAGGCAGTCCCTGATAGGAGGCAACTACGGACTCGTTGATCGCACATCATACGATTTGAATCCCGACTACTTCTCGTAAGTCTGTCGCGTTTTTCCCGCTTTCTAACACGTTCCTTTCGTCGCATTCAGGGCACTGCTTTGGAAGAAGCTAATGGGCCGGAACGTTTTCTCTGCAACTGCAGAAAACACACCGTACCTACGAACGTACGCACACTGCCTAAAAAGCAACCAGGTATACCAACTAAACTCCAGCAAAAACTTACACTTAGAAAGCCAACCTCTGATGTTTGTTTTCGGGCAGGGAGGATTGGCAGTCTTGATAATAAATCTCAGCAACTCAACGCAGTACTCGGTCGACTTAAGCCTCACTCACAGTGAGAAGGACTGCTCCTGTAATAAACCAAGAACGAAGAAGTTAGCCGGAGCTGGAGTAAATGCTGAGAGGATGGAATACCACTTGACAGCTCCAAACGGAGACTTGCAAAGCCCAGTAATGCTGCTGAACGGGAAGCCACTCGTAGCAGGAGCAGATGGTAGCATACCAGAGTTAACTCCGGTGACAAGAACAAGTTCCTCGCCGGTTCTGGTGGATCCATACTCGATTGTCTTCGCGGTAATCCCAGAAGCAGGTGTCCAATCGTGCACACAATAGTCACCGTCGGGGCCTGCAACAGAGAGATCACATCAATAGATACCGTCCAAACAGGAAAACAACACAGCCAAAGACAAACGAGAAAAAAAAAAGAGTGAAAGAGAAACAAAAACTTCCATTGAAAGAGAGAAAAATGCGAGACAACTAAGAAAAGTTTTCTGTGATCCTAAGGATGATGGAAAATGCAAGAGTCTTCAGCAGCAGCAGCAGCAGCTCTCTACCAACGTTGCTTATAGTATTTTTACAACCCTGCTATGTAACTTGAAAATTCAAACACAGTCCGTGGACTTCGCCTAAGCAAGGCTCACCAGATCTCAATTCCAATCATAAAAATCTCATCTTATCTTCGCTTAGAAGCACTTCCTGTGCACAATCGATGGGCCGGACTCGTCGTACTCGGTCTTGGCAATCCACATCTGCGAAGGAAACAGTGTCAAAGACCGCGTGCAAAGATTGATAACCGTAAGAACAAGAAATCCACTTACCTGCTGGAAGGTACTCAGCGAAGCCAAAATAGAACCTCCGATCCAGACGCTGTACTTCCTCTCAGGTGGTGCAACAACCTTGATCTTCATGCTGCTGGGAGCAAGAGCAGTGATCTCCTTGCTCATACGGTCGGCGATTCCAGGGAACATAGTCGAGCCGCCGCTGAGCACAATGTTTCCGTAGAGGTCCTTACGGATGTCGACGTCGCATTTCATGATCGAGTTGTAGGTGGTTTCGTGAATACCCGCAGCCTCCATACCAATCAGCGAAGGTTGGAACAAGACCTCCGGACATCTGAAGCGCTCGGAGCCGATAGTAATCACCTGTCCATCCGGGAGCTCGTAGCTCTTCTCGATCGAGGAGCTGCTCTTAGCCGTCTCCAGCTCCTGCTCGAAGTCGAGCGCAACGTAGGCCAGCTTCTCCTTCACGTCGCGGACAATCTCACGCTCGGCGGTGGTGGTGAAAGAGTAACCGCGTTCCGTCAGGATCTTCATCAGCGCGTCGGTAAGATCGCGTCCAGCGAGATCCAGACGAAGGATAGCATGCGGGAGTGCGTATCCTTCGTAGATGGGCACAGTGTGAGTGACGCCATCACCAGAGTCGAGGACAATACCTGAAAGAAAAAATCCAAAGAAAAATCAGACCCGGAGTGGAAGTATTACTGCATGCGACACTAACCAGTCGTCCGGCCGCTCGCGTACAGTGACAGCACCGCCTGAATAGCAACGTACATTGCTGGAACGTTGAAAGTCTCGAACATTATCTGCGTCATCTTCTCGCGATTCGCCTTTGGGTTCAGGGGAGCCTCGGTGAGGAGCACCGGGTGTTCCTCGGGAGCAACTCGCAGCTCGTTGTAGAAAGTATGGTGCCAAATCTTCTCCATGTCGTCCCAGTTGGTCACGATACCATGCTCGATGGGGTACTTGAGCGTCAGAATTCCACGCTTGGACTGGGCCTCATCGCCCACATAAGCGTCCTTCTGACCCATTCCAACCATCACACCAGTGTGTCGCGGGCGACCCACGATGCTGGGAAAAACCGCACGGGGCGCATCGTCTCCAGCGAATCCGGCCTAGATCCACACGAACAAACAAACAAGAAAAAAATGCCGATGGATCAAGAACTGCAAAACCAAAAAATCTATTTTCCAAGATTTCTACCTTGACCATTCCCGATCCATTGTCGCAGACGAGAGGCTGAACATCCTCGGTTTCCGACATGATTCCCTGCACAGAAAAGCGGGCCTCAGGCTAGGGTAAAAATTCCCAATCCCAAATCCCTAGCATGGATGCAAAGATCTGGATTCTAGATCTCGGCCAGAGCTAGATCCTACCTCTTAGAGCAAAGAAAGAGCGGATTCCAGCAAGATCCGAGATGCCGCAGCCAAGGCGCCGATGATAGCCGCCTTGCGCCTTGTCCACGCAAAGAAAGAAAACGAGAGAGCGGGCGAATAAACCCTAGCCAGTCGAGACACGTTCTACAAATTTCACCACGTTGGGCAGCACACACGGCGTGATCGCCGGTTCGAGTACAGTCCCCGCCACAAAATGCCAGCCCTCGGATGCAACCGGATATTCCAAACCACCGGCTGCAATCATGGCGCCCACGGCCGTTGGATGCGGGCAGAAGAAACGATCGCGGCCGCTCGTTCCAATCCCCGCGCGCGGGAGAAAGGCCATTGAATCTGGCGCTGTCAATGGGCCAGGTGGCAGCTGGCGAGTTGTGGACGGTGGTGGCCAGCGCGGACAAAAAGGAGCATATGCTTTCCATGCTAGCAAAAGAAAGAAAAAGAGGGAAATGGATGAATTATAGGGACCACCACATGGACTCTGCCTATAGTTCTTTTAAAAGATAGAGCCATTTGCGAGGTTCTTGTGAGATTTTGATGATACCTTACATACACCTTGGATTACAACGTTATGATATTATCTACAAGCCTTAAGCCACCACCACATTATTATTATTTCCTGTGCGCGGTAGCCATCGATGCATGGAGAACGAACGGAACAAAATTCTCCATTTTCTCGGCAGCTCAAGCGGCAACTGCCACCGGCTTTTTGCTTGTTTTGATGCCTTTGATCGCTGCCAAGCAAGAAAAAAAAATTTTAAAAAAAAATCGTGAGCAAAGTACGATGATGTTTCGAAAGTTTTGGCTACCTTCTGAATAGCTCTTGGCACCAAAAACTGCTGATCCTGCTACAACGGCATTCGCACCAGCTTCAATCACCTGCGAAGTTCACAGACTGTAAGCCAATCGATCCAAAAGCTAAAAAACAAAAAAAAAACAGACCTTGTAAGCATTTGAGGGAGTTACTCCACCATCAACCTCGATCCACGGGTTTACTCCCTGCAAGTGTTCATAAGTCTATCGGCGATCACAATCCAAGTTACAAACCTTCTCAGCGCACAACCTCTTCAAGTCAGAGATCTTCTTTACTTGGCTCTCGATGAAGCTCTGTCCTCCAAAACCGGGATTTACTGACATGATCAGCACCAAGTCCACAACTGCAATCGGAAAAAGATTTCTTTTTAGCGACGAGCATCTCTATAATACAAGACAAAACGCTCACCTTCAAGCACGTACTCGATGGCTCCCAATGGCGTGGCCGGGTTTAAAACAACACCAGCTTTACAGCCGAGATCTTTAATCTGGACACGAGAAGAAACCATTAAAAACTCATAGGATACTCCGCAACATACTTGATTGATGGTACGATGTAAATGGATAGTGGAAGCATTCTCACAGTGGACACTGATGATATCAGCACCCGCCTTCGCGAAATCGGGAACTCTTTGCTCGGGCTCCACGATCATCTGAAAAGAAAGTATGAACTTCAAGCATGCCACAAACTCATAAATGAAAAGCCACGAACCAAGTGCACGTCGAGAGGAAGATCAGTGACAGGTCTCAAGGAATCCACAACCAGAGGGCCGATTGTTATGTTTGGAACAAACCTTCCATCCATGACATCTACATGGATCCAATCACACCCTGCTGCTTCCACTGCTTTAACCTGGAGCTCTAGGCTTTTAAAAACTTCTTCTTTAGAAGGAAAAAAAAAACATATTTCACCTGTTCTCCCAGCTTCGAGAAATTCGCAGAAAGGATCGATGGCGAGACAATCACATCCTTCTTTGAGAATTTGTCCACCCGTGAGGATGCATTGACTTGTAAGCTGAATCCTCTCCCCTGGCTGAGGAAAATCCATGAAATTTGCCGACTGTATACAGAGACTCATACCTCGTCGATGATTTCGCAGTAGAAATCCGACCGCAATCCTGATTGCGCCCCCAGAACGAGCTCTGCGAGCTCGAAGGAGACGCCACAGCGAGCGCGGCATTGTGCGCCATGAATGTTCCAGCCATCCACTCACGGAAAACTATAAACCCTAAAATGAATGGACAATAAAGAAGGATTGCAGCTCTGCCGAGCCTTAGCTACGGCATCCCAAAGCTACTCTAAGTTCCCGCCAAAATTTCAAAGTGAAAAGGGGCTCTAGGGTTTTTGCGGTGCAATTTTTAGGGTTTAATCGCTCGCGCATTTCTTGGCTCTTCTCTCTTGGCAGCGCCGCGGCCGCGATGTTGGAGCTCCGTCTCGTCCAGGGAAGTCTTCTCAAGAAGGTACTCGAGGCCATCAAGGATCTCGTGAATGAGGCGAACTTCGATTGCTCTTCCACTGGATTTTCCCTGCAAGCCATGGATTCCAGCCATGTCGCGCTCGTGGCGCTGATGCTCCGGTCCGAGGGTTTCGAGCACTATCGCTGTGATCGCACGATTTCCATTGGGATGAATCTGACCAATATGGCCAAGATGCTCAAGTGCGCTGGAAACGACGATATCATCACCATCAAGGCCGACGATGGCAGCGACACCGTGACCTTTATGTTTGAGAGCCCCTGTAAGTTCTTGTTTCTTCGTTTCTTGTTCTCCAAGCTTAAGTTTTTCTATCTTTGTGTTTCCAGCTCAAGATAAAATCTCTGACTTTGAGATGAAGCTCATGGAGATCGATAGCGAGCACCTGGGAATTCCAGACACAGAGTACCAATCGAGCATCAAGATGCCATCCCAGGAATTCTTGCGCATCTGCAAGGATCTTAGCAGCATTGGCGACACAGGTACTAAAGAACTCTCGGAAGTTTTCTATGATCAAAAGTTTATATCTATTCGTTCCAGTGATGATCTCTGTCACCAAGGACGGCGTCAAGTTCACAACTTCCGGGGACATTGGCACCGCCAACATCGTGTGCCGCCAAAACACATCGGTGGACGAGGTAAACTGCAATGAAACAACACACTGATTCTAGCGTGTGTGGTTTTCACTATTTTTCCAGCCCGATAACGCCACGGAAATCAAAATGCAAGAACCCGTCTCGCTCACGTTTGCGCTGCGCTATTTAAACTCGTTCACCAAGGCAACGCCACTGGCCAACATCGTGACACTGAGCATGTCTGCCGATCTTCCCATCGTGGTGGAGTATAAGATTGGAGATATGGGATACGTGAGGTACTATTTGGCTCCCAAGATCGAGGAGGACGACGCAGCAGCAGCCTAGAAGCTTTTTTTTTTCCCTTCGAGCTTATTGAGAATCACTCAAGTTTTTAAAAGTTTGCGATCTCTATTAGAGCTTTATGGAAGAACTGTTGGAAGTTTAAAATCGTCTACAAAGTTTTAGTGTAAGAATCTAAAGTGTTAAAAGATTGCAAAAACCATTCATATCTATTTCATTGAGAACTTATCCAACATTGCGAGTTCGCAGTCTTAGAAGAGTCTAGAAGAGCTCTCTCCAAGTCGTGGACTCTCCTCTCAAGCTTGGCGATGGTGGTGTTTTGCCACTGGATCCCTTCCAGGCACTTGGCCACCATCGCCTTGAGCTGCGCATTGTCCTCCATGAGCTTCTTCACCACGTCCACGTCCATCTTCTCGCCACCTTCCATGCTTGTTTGCCCGGAGATTTGATCTTGCTCGACCGCTTCACACGAGACTGGAACTTCCTGGTCAATCTTCTCGGGGCTGCGAAGATCTTCCTCCTCCGAGATCGTGCTCTCCGGCTCGGTGTCCATCGAGTCCTCGGCATCGCCGCGCTTGACGATGAAGAAACCATCGTCCTGATCGTTCTCCGCGTCTTCGATCTCGATGTCTTGAGCCTCTTCTCCATCGGGGTCATCCTCCGCGTCCTCGATCTGGATGTCCTGAGCTTTGCTTCTGTTCTTCTCGTGCTCTTCTCGATCTTTGTCCTCCATGGGCTTCGAGAATTGCTGGAGCTCCACGATCAAGGCCTTCCTCACTTCCTTGACGAGGGGCTGGACAGCGTCGATCTCGTCCAGCTTCAGTAGAAGGAGCGTCACGCGCTCGTTGAGCATCATCCTCTCCTTGCGATCCTCCAGGATGGCGTTAAACTTGGCAGCATCGGCCACACTCTCCCTGATCACCGCGAAGTCCTTCGCGATCGCCTTGATGCTGCGCAGCTGCTTGATGGGCTTCCATCGCCTCACAAGAAACCCGCGAAACACCGCCTGGATCTTCCGGGCCGCGTCGTCTTGGGATTGAAACGTGAAGATCTTCTTGGGAATCTTCTCGGGCTTGGCTGCTGCCGCCGCCGCCGACCTCTTGGGAGAAGGAACCCTAGCTTCCTCGATCGGGATGTCGATCACGGGCTCCTTCCGCGGAGGAGACTTCCGCGGCGCCGGAGAAGAAGGTTTGCGAGCCTCATACCTTGGATCCCTTTGCTGCTGCTGCTTCTTCGGACCACCGCCTCTGGAGAAATTCTGGGCGAAATTTGGCGCGTAGAACGAAGAGAATGGATCGAAGGGTCCCTTCGATCGACCGCCAAAGCCGCCCCAGCCACCATCACTGAAGAGATCATCCATAAACGCCATTACCGAAGAAGAAAAAGGATTTCTACAGAACCCTAAAGCTACCACGCGGACTTTATTTGCAAATCCTTTTGGGAGATTCTAGAACGCCCCAGATGGTTTCCAAGCATATTCCCCTTCCAGTCTCACAGCATATTCGCTATTTAAAAATTTGATCTTGGCGGAAAAGCTACTCCAACAACGCACTAGCGCTTGGATACAAATTCCTCGCGCCTCCATATCCTCGCTACCATATCCTCGATCGGATATGGATCAGCTAGTATCATTGTTTGTGGCGCTCACAGTTCTTTCGGGCAAGTCTCTAGGATTTCTATACCTATTACTGATCAATTCCATGCCATCGCAGGATCCGTGGCACACCAGACGAAGATCAATCTCTACAACGCGTGCCAATTCCCCGTGTGGCCGGCCTGGATCCCCAATGCCGGCGTTGCCCAAATCGCCCCCGGGGGCGCCAAGATCCAACCTTACGAGTCCATTCATCTCCTCGCCCCCTGGGGCTGGTCTGGCCGATTCTGGGGTCGAACGGACTGCTCCTCCTCCATCGCTGCGATCAATTCAAGCAACACGGCTAACAACCACACGATGAACACGATGATCGACTGCGAGACAGGGGACTGCAATGGCGAGCTCGGGTGCTCCTCGCCGGGCCTTCCTCCCGCAACGCTAGTGGAATTCACCCCGCTGCGCGATCCCCACGCGCTGCTCGACCACTACGACGTCTCACTCGTCGACGGCTACAATCTCCCGGTCAGAGTCATCCCCTCGTCGGGCAGCTGCAAATCCGCAGGGTGCAGCGCCAGTGCCGCCGATCTCCTCGCGCGCTGCCCGCCCGAGCTCGCGATCCGGAGGAGCGGCGGCGACGCGGGCGTGATCGCCTGCAAGAGCCCCTGCCTGGCGTTCAAGGAGGACAGGTACTACTGTACGGGCGAGTACGGCAGCGCACGGAAGTGCCGCCCCAGTCCGTACTCGCGATGCTTCAAGCGCTCTTGCCCGGACGCCTATAGCTACGCGTTTGATTCGCTCGACTCGGGCTTCGCATGCCCGTCCGGGGCCGAGTACACGATCGTGTTTTGTCCCAGGAGCTATGGCCATGGATCCAGCGAGAGTTCTAGTTCCTGGTGAGAAAACACCGTATAACTTTTCATATATTAATTTACAGCGCATGGAACTTGAATTGTGTGCCTATGAATTGAAGAATGCCTGGATCGATCGATCGGACCTATCATCTTTTGTTCTTGGTTTTGGAGTTTCACTTTGATGTATGATCTTTTGCTCTTGGGATTCGGGGTTTTCACTTGATGTGGGAGTCGTAGATCGTGAATAAGCTGTCGGTGATGAGCAGTGGCAGCTTGTCAATGTACATGAACAGCCGCTGCAAATTCTCCCGCGACAGTTCCACCATGTCCTGCGAGTCGGAAACATCGGTGAAAACCCACAAGTCCCGCGAATTCACTCGCTTCAAGCTGTCACGGCAAAACGGACACGATTGAGCTCTCGAATGCCTGGAACCAAAAAAAAAAAAAAAAAAAACAAAGAGAACGAACAAAGTAGAACATCTCTAAAGACCAAACTCTTGGAAACGTACCATTCTCTGTAGCATCGTATACACATTGCGTGATTGCATCCCGGCAGCGCGATTTTGCTGTTGGCCTCGAGGCAAATCCCACACTCTTGCTCCCGCTCCACGTCCAAATCGCTCATCCGCCCCCGTTCCTCGTCGCCTTTCCGCTTAAACTTCTCCAGGCACGCGGCGCGCTGCTTGATCGCCTCCACTTCCGTGATCCCACCTTGCAACTGCTGCAAAGAAGGATAAATATACGCTGGAACAAGCACAAATCTTTCCAAAATCACTTAACGGGCTCTTCACTTCGTCTACAAGCTTACCGTAGAACTCCCGTAGGCTAGCTTTTCGTTCGTGCGTGGACATGGTGGTTGTGCCATCCACATAAACCTGCGGATCATTTACGAGAAACCAGCCAGTCAGTGTGGATCAAACGCGCCAAACTATTAAAGACAGGATAAAATCAAGAAGAAAAAGAAGATCTCCAGCACAGAATGCTTGCTGACCTGAAACAATTTGCCGGATTCTAACGACAAAAACTTCCCACAGAAAACAAAAGAGGGGAGAGATTCGAAGTTTACGACGATCTAGAGAGCGAAAACTAAACTGACCTTGTAGATGAGAATTCTTATCAGGCCCAAAGCTCCGGCGAGGCTACAATCCGTCCAGCGAACGAGAAAGAGGAAGAAATGCGCCGCGGGGCTGTAAGAGAGCCTCATCTGGAGGCAAGCGCCATCGTATCCTCTTGGAAACTCGGATGCCCTGCGAAAGAATTCATCACAAAGTAAGAATCGCGAAGAAAAGCCCTCAAGAACACAAGAACACCAATATGCTATAGAACGAGCAGAGTTTCCACTGATCACACTTACAATGTGTTGGCGTGTTGGATGTCCGCCTCGAGTGACTTGAGAGACTCCTTGAAAGATTTGCCATGGCGCTTTGTCACAAGGATCATCTCGCAAGTAACCCCCTCTCACTAGTTCTTAATTTTGGATTTTTTCCTCGATTCACTTCACGGAGAATCCCTGCCTCCACTGTGGATTGGAACCTCTGCCATCCAATCCCTTTCCCTTCTTCCCCGGAGCCCTATCTCTTTGGCAAGTACCGCATTTGGGGTGCATAGCTCTCCCTCCTCTCTCTCCCCGCTCTAGGAAAGAAATCCAGCAACGAGAAAAAAAGGAAACAATCCCGCAAGAAAATCGGGAATTCCCACAAAAGGCCTACCCCACGGGCGATGCGATTGGCGATCGACCCCGCCCAGACGCTGCGAGGAACGCAAAGAAGCCGCTCAACCGCAACACGAAACAAAGCCAGCCACAGGGAGCTTTTTCACCGGGGTTACTTACCGCACGCCACGTGTCAGGGCGGGCGCTGACGTGTCCGTGACGCAGCGAACACGTGGCGGATTGCCGGGGCCGTTGTGGGGCCCAACCGTGGCACCAACGTGTCGCCAAATATAACAGCTGGAAAAAATACGTGTGAGTCATCCTTTATTGTTTGATCTTAGCGACGACCATTTTGATTTGATAAGGGTTTGATATATAAGGGCTTGGTTTTAGGGTTAGGGTTTGAGAAGGAAGAGCTATGGCAGGACTTTCTCTTCAGTGTGGAGATTGCGGCGCGGCTCTTCGGACCGTGGAAGAGGCGCAGGAGCACGCGGAGATCTCAGGCCACGCGAATTTCGTGGAATCAACGCAAGCGGTCCTCAATCTGGTATGCACAGCCTGCGGCAAGCCCTGCCGATCGCAGACGGAGGTGGATCTCCACACCAAGCGCACTGGCCATGTCGATTTCGCGGACAAGACGGCCGAGGCGGCCAAGCCCGTGGTCCTGGAGAGCGGCAGCAAGCCCGAGATGATGGACGTGGATCCGAAAGAGGAGATGCAAGCTCCGGAGGTGAACCAGCAGCTCCTCGAGGAGCTGGAAGCGATGGGATTCCCGCGCGCTCGATCCGTCCGGAGCTTGTTCTACAGCAAGGCCGAGAACTTGGAAGGCGCTGTGAATTGGATCGTGGAGCACGAGAACGATCCGGATATTGATGAGGAGCTCTTGGTTCCGGCGAGCTCGCTAAAGCCGGCTCTCACTCCCGAGGAGGCCAAGGCTAAGGCGCAAGAATTGGTGGAGCGAGCACGGAAGAAGAAAGAGGAGGAGGAGAAGAGGCTGGAGAGGGAGCGAGAGAAGGAGAGGATCCGCGTCGGGAAGGAGCTCCTCGAGGCCAAGCGCAAGGAGGAGGACAGCGAGAGGAAGCGGATCCTCATGTACAGGAAGGCGGAGAAGGAGGAGGAGAAGCGCGCGAGGGAGAAGATCCGGCAAAAGATCGAGGAGGATCGAGCGGAGAGGCGGCGGAAGCTGGGCTTGCCGCCGGAAGAACCCAAGCCGGCTGATCAAGCAGCAGCGCCACTCGCAGCTCCAGCGGCAGCTCGTCCAGCAGACGAAACCAAGCCAGTCCAGCAGCCAAAGGCAGCGTCCAAGGCCGAAGAGCTCCGGAGCTGCCTGAGATCCATCAAGCAATCTCACAAGGATCAGGACGCGAAGGTGAAGAAGGCGTTCCAGACGCTCCAGACTTACGTGGGGAACATTGGACGCGCCCCGCAGGAGGAGAAGTTTCGCAAGATCCGGGTGACCAATCCCACGTTCCAGGAGCGCGTCGGGGATCTCGGCGGCGTCAAGTTTCTGGAGCTGTGCGGCTTCGAGCTGGACCCGAGCGGCGAGTTTTTGAACCTGGCGGCCCAGAGTGTCGACATTGGGGTGCTGAGAGCCGCAGACAAGGAGCTCTCATCGGCGATCACCAATCCCTTCTTCGGCGTTCTCTAGACATTTTCCCCAAGAGCCCTAAACATTTATAAAGTTAAAGAACCCTAAAAGTGATGTTTACGAAGAACCCTAAAAGTGATGTTTCCGAAGAACCCTAAAAGGTCATTGTCTAAAAATAAGTAGATGACGGAATATCCTCACGCGGATATACAAGCAGGGACACAAAGGACGAAAGGGCTTTTCTTTGCGTATACAGGATGATGCGGCGGCGGAATCGATCGCAAGTGGCCAAGATCCCCTGGCTGCCAGATCTGACCCCCTTCGACGACGATGGATCCGGGTTGATTTGACCGTTCGCCTTCCTTCCCCCGTGCTGTCAAAGATTGACGCTTCTTGGGGATCGTCTCGTCTCCTCTCGTTTGTTGGCGATGGCGAAGCTGACACCAGGGATTGTTGCGGTGATTATGGTGTCTGGGAGCGTGATCTACATCGCGGCCAACAGGTTCCACCGGCTCAAGCAGCAGAATTTCGAGGATCTGGCGCCCGCCGCAAAGCCCAAGAAGAAGGTCCGCTTCTCCGACTCGGTCGTGGAGCCCAAGGGCGACAATCGCGAGTTTCGGAGGTCTCGCAAGGCTCGGGGGAGCGTCAATCAGGAAATTTCGGATCAGGGAGGCGAGCCGGCGCCGGCACCGAGCGCAGCTCCAGAGATTTCGGTGGATCGAGCGCCGCCGCCCGGCGATCACCGGCCAATCTCGAAGAAAGTGGAGGCGCTGCTGGGATCCAATCTGCCCGCTAACAGGATCGCGCTCTACTCGGACAGGTATCACGATCGCCTCCTCAAGGTCTGACGCGAGCGATTGATTGATTGCCCGGCTCCTCCTCTCCCATTCTTTCTTTCGGTTCGATCGATTGTCAATTTTCTCTCTAACTCCACCGATCGCCACATTCGTTGCGTGACCTTTTCTCTTCCGGTACTGGTTTTCGTTTTTTTCCTGTTCTACTCTTCATTTTCCCGGCAAAAAGGGGGCTTTCAACATCTGGGGTGTCCTTCGCTTGGCTGCTTCGAAAAAAATTCGTGCGTGGCGACGACGGCCTCCCTCCACTTGCAGCTCCGAGTGGGCGGCGCAGCGAGAGAACAAGAGCAACAGTCAATCTCGCTGGAATCATTGGCGACGGAAGAAATCCCAGTAGCCAATGCGAGCGTCTCAAGATAAGAGATCCTTTCGTGGAAAGAGCAAGAACAATTGGTTATAGTGGTCGGTGGTGACCGGTCAGTGGTGATCCAGTGGTCAGTCTCCACCCAATTATTGACGGACTTCTTTAAGCTTCCATTCTTATCCAACATAAATCTTTGGATCTAAGCTTAGATTGTCTACATTGAAAAAGATTCCATTCCATGAACCCTAAAATCTCGAGACAAAACAAAGGATTTTTGGAACTATAGTAGTGTCCGTACAGAAATGCAAAAGAGAATTTACAAGCCTGGGGCTCACTCCCAAGATTGCTTGCGTGGAATTCGCCCTAGCCGCCAAAGCCGTACAAGGTCCTACCTTGCCTCTTGAGTGCGTAGACGACGTCCATGGCCGTGACCGTCTTGCGCCGGGCGTGCTCCGTGTAGGTGACCGCATCCCTAATGACATTCTCCAGGAAGATCTTGAGCACGCCCCGGGTCTCCTCGTAGATCAGCCCGCTGATTCGCTTCACGCCGCCACGGCGAGCCAGGCGCCGAATCGCCGGCTTGGTGATGCCCTGGATGTTGTCGCGGAGATGCTTGCGGTGGCGCTTGGCGCCGCCCTTGCCCAAACCCTTGCCTCCCTTGCCTCTCCCAGACATGATCGATCTTCTAGATCTAGAGAAGAACTGGAGACTTACTTGGGAGGAGGCGCTGCTCGAAGATAAAAACTTAGAACTGTGGAAACCTAGAATCCGGGGAGAGCTTATATACCTCACGCGCGCGATGCCCAGGCGCTCGATTGAAAGCACAGATCCAACGGCATCGCGGCTCGGATCGATGACGTGGCGGAGTGCGTTTGAAACGAATTGGCGGGAGTGTGTTTGCTTGTGCTTTCCTGGGAGGGAATCGAGCGCTGGACCTCCTGCGTTGCTATCTGCCACGTGTCGTGATCCCCGTCACAAGGCTAGAACCCTAATGTAGCACGAAGTGGGGGAAGGATGCAAACTGCGACGGTGTGTAGCAGCCACACGGTAGGGTTTGATCGGCGGCGCTGCGAAGTACTGCGCACGCAATGCAGGCCACGTATCATCCAGAGATTGCCGGCACAGAGTAGGAGGAGATTGATTACCGCCGCGGCTGGAAGCTCCGGGCCGAAGGGCGATGGATTCTCAGGTAGAGATTTCCTGGCGGAATTCGATGATCTGCTCAAGTTTAAGCCGGCTGACAAGGAGCAGCAGCAGGCGTCGACGAGCAGCGCGCTGTCGGATCTTTTCAAGGTGATGGACGAGAAGAAGAAGCCGGATGATAGCAGCAAGAGCATGAAGTTTGGGACATTCAAGAGCTTGGATACGGAGGACAAGCAACCCAAGGCTGGTAAGAACTTGCATTGCTTCTTTTCGTTTCCTTTTTCGTTGCTAGATCGAATTGTTGGTTTTAACTTCTGGATTGATTGATCGCTGTAGGGAAGGTCAAGAAGGAGCGGATCACAAAGAAGGTGTGACATTCCTCGTCATTTTCTTCTCTGATTCTTTTTCTCTTGCTTTTGGCAGTTTTTTGGCTCGTCTCCCGGCAAAATAGAAGTGAAGGAAATTGTCGACGCCTTTAAGCTCCATGAAGCCGATGTTGGATCGTCACAAGTTCAAGGTACGTTTTCCTTCCCATCCCAGCAATTGTTTCTCACTTTTCCCGGGGAAAAACATCCTTTGTAGTTGCGCTCCTCACCCAGCGGATCAAATACGTCGCAGCTCATCTCAAAGACAACAAAAAGGTACGCCACCAAGCTCCCAGGATGTCGATCTCGATCTCTTACAAGGAGTTACCAAATCGCAGGACTTTTCATCGCAACGGGGGCTCCGCGCGATGGTCGAGAAGAGGAAGAAGCATCTCCTATACCTGCGAAGAACAAACATGGACGGCTACAAGGTGGTGATCGCCAAGCTGGGCCTCAAAGACAACCTCGACAAAGCGAGACTGGCAGCGTCTGGCCGCCGGGGCCGTTAAAAAGATTGTGAGCGCCACGTCAGTTGTACACGTCATTCTAATTCTGTCACGTCAGCCCTAAATGATCTTTGTTGGCCACGTCAGCCCTAGAACTTTCTAGGGTTTTCGGGCTAGGGCTTGGGGGCGCCGCGAAGGTCGAGTATTTGAGAGAGGCCGTAGCGATGGTAGCGTGTTCTAGCGCGTGATGATTACATAGTTCAGATGAGTCCCACAATGGGCGCTGACTATAAGCACTATGTCTTTCGCTCCTATCTGACGCTTTGATCTTCCTCGGTATTTTTTCGGGTTTTCCGTGTTGTTCTTGGGTGGGCGGCTTCTCTAAGTTAGTCGTAAGGCTTAACTCTGTGCTTTTCGGCTCGTTCCCTTGAAGCCAAATGTCTCTGTCCTGCATCAAACGCGCTTCCTCCTTCATTGTGAACTGGATGCGCTGTGATTTCGGAGCAGGACACATTGACACGAAAAGAGGGTGTGCTGTGATGACCAAGTTTTTCGTGTTTGATTTATCGTGGCCATGATCACGACAAAAGAACATCTAAGGGTCTGAGCTCCCGCCAAAGCCCTCGCTTGTTTGCGATGACTTTTGCGCTTTGTTTTCTCGCGGTTGTTGGTTTGTTTCTGGCGATCGAGACGGACACGGTAAGGCAGAGAGGTGAGATCTCTTAAATGCTGCATGTTTGACCAAACTCCTTCAAAGTCGGAAAGTAGACAAGGAACAAGAGAGGACCACGTAGCGGTGTTTGTTTACAGCCCAAAAAAAAAACTCATGTCAATCCCCAGGATTTCCATCCATGGACTCCCAAGACACCGCGAAGAACTCATCAAACTTCACTTTTGAGTATGTGTATACAAGAGAGAAAAGAAGCTAGTTGTGGTTGGCAGTCCTCGGTTGCGGAGGATTCGGGGGGCCGAGGTGGTACGCCTTTGTAGTGACGACGAATTTCCGGGGCCGAGGGGGTTCCGGGGGGTCGAGCTTGTAACCCTGCGTGCTCTTCTTCGGAGCTTCTGGCGGCCCCAACGTTAGCGCCTCGCGCCTGGCGGGAGTGGAACAGAAGGCCAGCGCTTGGCTTGGCCGGAACACGAGATCACGCGGCTGATCGAGTGACGCGGACGTAGCAAATGCTGCCGCCGGAGTGGCGCAAGAGTCGAGAGCTTTGCTCAAGAACTGGACGGAGCAAGCGTCGAACTGTGGTGGGATTTGGGCCTGGAATTGCCCCGTCTCGTTGGTGCTCACGACGGTGGAGTGATCTGGATTCCCGCGGTTGCCGACGCATTCGATTTGGATCTCGGCCTCTGTTTGACAAGTACCATGGATTTAACAGTGAGACCACAACTCTCTCTCTCTTTCTTGCTTTATCTTTACCTGAGAAGACTATGCTGTTGCGCGTGAGCCTCGCTTCCAGGCAACTATCGCAGTAGACTGTGCCAAACAGGATCCTAATTGAAGAAGAAGAGGAAGAGCGGAGAAATCTTCGCGCATCTAGCGATACCGCGTGAGATTCCAGCGCCAATACGAGTACCACTGCGAGCAGTAGACCCGAAGGAGAAGAAGATTTCAAAGAAAGGAAGATTGGGACAGCCATTCAACTCATATATATATATAGGGGTGTGTGTGTGTGGGTGTGTGTGTGTGTGTGGACAAATGTGGGAAAAAAATTTCTTGTGAGCCCCTTTGGTGTCTCCTGATCCTGCTTGTTATTCACCCACCTTTCTGATTTCTCCTGACACTGCACTAAATGTGCAGGTTTTAGACATGAGCTCTCTCTTGCTACTACCTTCTTTTTATCCCTCCCTCTCTCGAATCTACTGCTCCTTGAGCTGCTGCTGGTTCACAAGCCCCACAAAAAATTTTTTTTTTTTTTGGCCGCAAGAGGACATGTAGGCGGAGATATAAGCAATTTGGTCAACACGGAGGAATTTAAGGTTTTTCAAAGTTTCTGTAAGAGCTCAAAGTAGAGACCAGCGTTAAAGAGGGCGAGCACTATCTCTTGATTATATCATAGAAAAGTAAACAAGGCAAAGGGGATGGATTGATTCACAGAGATCACGAACGCTTTGGGCCGAATTCTAAATGGAGCGGCTGAGATCATGATCAAGATTCACCACGAGTGGGCAAATACGCGACCATCTCCCAAGTCAAAATGCGGGTGATTACTTTTAGGATCACGCCGAGGAATCCCTGACTGCTAAACAAATCCAAAGGGGAAGTTGACAATGAATGGGGAAGCTTGCCTGCCAGCTCGCACCACCTTTAAATTTAAGCTCGTTTTTGTCGGTGTTTTCTCGATCTTCTTCTTATTTAACTTTACACTCTCGTTCTCTCTCACGTGGTACCAACAATGTACCTTTAAGGATGAATCGATAGACAATTTTCCCAAGATTGGCTCTCATTTCCAATCCACTGTTGGAGATTGCGCAACGAGATTGTTGCTTTTTGCTTGGGGAGAAGGGAGATTTCGTTTGAAGTGTTCTTCTTCTGTAAAGCAAAGGTGGTGGGCGTGTGTGTGCGTGCTTTCCATGATTGCGTACATGATTGAGTGGAGCGTGCACTATAAGGAGCTCACACCAAGAGGGGCTTATTCCCATTGGAGGTTGGCGAATTTTTCATACCCCCATTCATGTCCCTTCGCACAGCAAGAACAAAAAACCCCCAGAAAAAACGAGGCATGCGAACCACCGCCACCTTGGATGGATGATTCGCAGCTGATGATTTGCATGAAAGCCATACAGTGAAAATTGGAGCTTCTCTTTTGTCCCCAATTTAAAAAAAAACATACTCAAAAAGATGAATTATTACTCTAATCGTCGCTGCTCACCCAATCGTCACCAGTTAATCAATCAGTAAAACAAGAAAAAAAAAGTAGTGCGAATTTGACCGAGGCATTGTTTGGAAGCATAGGCACAGGTGATCGATCGATTTTACACTACTATACAAGACTGGGAGGCCGTAAGCATTGTCCTCTTGCTTTCGGCCAAACAAAAATGTAATCGAACTTCTTGGTCGGTAAAAAGGAACACTTTCAAAGTCAAACAGAAGCTTGTCACCGTGTTCATCAATGTTTGACTTGTGACAAGGACTGGCACTGATATATTCCCCGGATCTTTAGGTCAGGGCTCGAATCGCGAGACCCATGTAGCCGTTGGAGGGAGATTTAAAGCTACCTCGGATATTCGCTCGCATCCTGGGATTTTAGGGCTCATGGCGAGGAAGAGGAGGGCGCTGGCCGTCAAGAGCAGCAATGCGAGGGCGGGGGAGGAGGAGGAGGACGCGGCGGCGGCGGAGGATGATCGCGTGGCGGAGCTGTGCCGGGCGATAGATTTGCAAGGTGAGAGGCTGCATTCGGGGGGAAATCTCTCAATCTTGGTCTCGACAGTGCAAGCGAGGGCGACGGCGATTCGAGCCATCCGCGACGCGCAGATCGCCGAGTTCCTGGCGCAGCTCCAGCTCCAGCAGGCGAGCTTGTCGGAGGAGATGCTGGACATGCCGATTTGCGACTTCCTGGAGCGGTTCTGCCCTAACACCGAGCTCGTGTGCAAGGAGAGCGGAGTGGTGGAGATGAGGAAGAAGAAGCTGCCGACGAGCGATGCCGGGGACCCTCTGGCTTCCTTGTTTGCGCTCAGTGCGCTCAAGAACACTAGCTCCACCGCCGCCGCCGCCGCCACCGCCAAAAAGAGCTCCGCTTCCTTCTTTTGCACGCCGCGAACCTTGGGTGGTGGGATATCCTCGAGCATGAAGACTCGAAGTATGCGCTGAGCTTGAGAGGCTGGGCTCTTGCACCGAACAACCATTCTTTGGATCAAGTAAGTGTTACGTTTTTCTTTTCTCTTCCTCTCCTTGTGTATTGAATTTGTGTTTGCTTTCTCTTGAAATTCTTGCGGTTCTTTCTATTTTGTCTTTGTTCTTTGCTTCAAGTCTCAATCTCTGCTCTCGCTTTGTTATGTCACACAATTACTGACAAAATGTCCCTGTTCCTTTCCTAGTTTCCATCGTGGACGGGAAGGAGGACAGGTAGCTGGTCTTGTTGGATGGAATCAGGAATCTCATATTGTGTTGCTCTTCTGTCAGATCAGTCAATCAGACGTTCTTCTCAAATTGATGTGCAACAAGACAGTATGTCCATGCATCACTTCGAAGTTTCAGGTCTTGTCATGGAAGGGATATCCGTTGTTTCCGTCTTCCTAGCCGGAGCTGGTCATTTGGATAGGCATGTGTACTTTTCGATGGGAGTGACACTATGAAATAGGTGTCATGAGTTCGGAAGTTATCGTCACCTTGAGGAAAAAATCTTGAGCAGATAATGGCTGCCTCAACAGGATATCAATGGTTTGACTTTTTGGTTCACCTGACAGGGATTGAACCTGCTCCGGAAACAGACGTTCATTTCCTATCGACTTGTCATTTGGGCCGACACTTGGCTCTGTAACCAGTTATACACATAGGAAAAGTGCTGGTGCTGCTTGCCGCAGCTCCGATGGAGATCTTCTTGCTGGGAGCTGGGAGCTGCTCGCTCAAGCGCATGACAAGCCAACTTGTTGCAATCCGGGCATTTGCTATCAGACTCCTCCGTTTATCGGGGCTTGCTATCCGTGAATTTCATGAACACCATGACAATGGTCCGCCATCCTTACGGGGAAGGGTAACGCCGTGTATATAAGGGCAATGTTGGGGAAGAGAAACGCGCCAGAGGCTGTCGCTGATTTTCTGGGAACGGTGCGAGTTAAGCAGGATCAAGTCAAAGGAAAGTTAACAGAGGTACGACATACAGAGTGGCGACTGAGACCCGCGTCTAAGATTGCTGCATCGCATTTTCTGTCCAGGGGCTGTGGCTAGTGTGGAAGTTTCAAGGTTACCATACTTTGAATCACTACATGAAACAAAAGACATTTCCAGAGAATCTCTCAAAGCAACTTCTCGGAGACAGTGTAAGGTTGTACGCCTTGGCTAATATTAGATGTTGGTAACAGGGTTGTTTTAGGCCACAAACAAGCGTTATGGCTCTATAAACCAACGACAAAATGCTCTAATTCTCCGAATTATAATGACTCACTTGTTATATAACCTACAACAAATCCATAGAACCAGTAAGCATGTTTGCCGCCGAATGTCTTTTAGATCTTGTTCTTACTTTATCCCCAGGCGTTGTGCACTGTGATGTAAAGCCATTAAATCTAATTCTCGCTGGTGATATGGATACTTTTAAGCTTGTCGACCTTGGCGCATGTGTCAATCTACGGTCGGTTACAATTACGTAAGTGATGAATTTTTCGCAAATCATGCTTTTCAAATGAAAATCTCAAGTACAGGTTCCGAACGAAACAATCATGGACCCAGATTATGCACCTCCTGAGCAGTACGTCATGCCGAGCTTGTAAGCCTGCGTGCTCTTCTTCTTGTTCGGTGTCGGAGCACTATCTCTTGATTATATCATAGAAAAGTAAACAAGGTAAAAGGGATGGATTGATTCACAGAGATCACGAACGCTTTGGGCGGAATTCTAAATGGAGCGGCTGATCGAGATTCACCATGAGTGGGCAAATACGCGACCATCTCCCAAGTCAAAATGCGGGTGAATACGTTTAGGATCACGCCGAGGAATCCCTGACTGCTAAACAAATCCAAGGTAAAGGGGATGGATTGATTCACAGAGATCACGAACGCTTTGGGCGGAATTCTAAATGGAGCGGCTGATCGAGATTCACCACGAGTGGGCAAATGCGCGACCATCTCCCAAGTCAAAATGCGGGTGAATACGTTTAGGATCACGCCGAGGAACCCCTGACTGCTAAACAAATCCAAGGTAAAGGGGATGGCAGAGATCACGAGCGCTTTGGGCGGAATTCTAAATGGAGCGGCTCATCGAGATTCACCACTAGTGGGCAAATACGCGACCATCTCCCAAGTCAAAAAAGCTTGCCTGCCAGCTCGCACCACCTTTAAATCTAAGCTCGTTTTTGTTGTAGAGACCAGCGTTCGTGGAAGAGTTTACTACAATCGCAATGGCCTTGATCGCGTCCTTGACCAACAAAATGTTGCTCGTCGCTGCTCTCATGGCCGCAGTGGTGGTCGACTCCTCCAGGATGATCCAGCGTCTCGTTTTGCTCTCGCCACCAACGGGGCCTAATCCGGGCGGGAACTCGAAGGATGTGGACGAGGTGGCAATGGAATTCATCTCTCCGCCATCCGGTCCCAGCCCTGGTGGTAACGGTGGATCGCGGTTTGAGGTCTCAAAGCCCCGGACGCCATCTCCTCCGGCCGGTCCGAGCCGAGTCCACAATGGAGAGGGTCAGTTCGTCGTCTCCAAGCCCCGCACAACGCCATCTCCTCCGGCCGGTCCGAGCCCAGTCCACAATGGAGGGGGCCAGTTCGTCGTCTCCAAGCCCCGCATAACGCCATCTCCTCCGGCCGGTCCGAGCCGAGTCCACAATGGAGAGGGCCAGTTCGTCGTCTCCAAGCCCCGCACAACGCCATCTCCTCCGGCCGGTCCCAGCCCAGTTCATAGAAGGCCCGTTCGTCGTCTCCAAGCGCCATCGCCTCCGTCCGGTCCCAGCCCCGTCCACGACGAGATCGATCTTCACTTGGTTCCAGCGGGTCCGAATCCACTCCACAACTTTGGAACCGTGTTCCATAGCGTTCCGGAGGGGCCAGATCCAGTTGGAAACTAGGGTGGAGCTATGGTCTTCTATTGATCTTTTCTTGCCATTCATGCTTGTTTCTTAATCGTCGCCCAACACTTCGTTTTTTTCTGGCTCAATTGCATCCTCTCTTGGATAAATATTGTAATTACTTGCAAAGAAATAGACAATGCTGAATTAATCGCCCCAGTGTTCTTTGAGATTGCTCTTCCTAGATTCCAAAGCTGGCGCTAATTTGTTCTCGGAATTTCTGAACGAACGGCAAAGTTGGCGCTAAATTTTAAAACAAACGAGAGGGATATTCGGCCCTTTGTGCTAGATTTAGGGTTCTTTCATGAGACAGTGGCTATGGCGGAATGCCGCTGCTGCGCGAGCTGGGATATTTGGCTGTCGATCGGGGGGCCTCTCCAGCTGCGCTCTATTCGGCGTTGAGAGCAGAGGTGCTTACGCGATTTTCTTGCCCGGCGTCAAGACGCGACGCACAGCTTGATCTTTGTGAGGCACAAGAAGCTCCGGCTCAGGCCTACGACGAACAAGGTTCTGGCGCTGGAGAATGTGGCAAGTTGGAAGTAAGTTTCGATGCTTTCGGGGCGTGTGGAGTTAGATCTGATTGATTGAACTACGATTTGTTCCAGAGCAGGCAGAATGAAGTTCCGAATGAAAGAACTAAAGCGCCTTATGATGTGCTCCCGAGAAGAACTAAGATGCAAAGAGCACGGGACTTGGTGGATGCAGTAAGTTCTTCTCTCTTTATTTCTTCTGGATCTTTCAAAACTTCGTGCACAGGTTTTGCCACTTCCCGATGTCAAAGGGGAGATTTGGGCCGCTTGCGATACATGGATTGCCTGGGAGCTAAGATTTCCTCTGCATACAATCGAGATGGCCACTCACAGGCTCTTCCGGTTGAAACAATGGCGCAGAGTTATTCACGTAAGTTCTGTGAGTTCTCTGTTCTATCTGACTGGAAAAACGTCACAGGTGATCAAGTGGATGTTTAGCAAAGGCCATGGCTTTACAATGAACACTTATGGATGTCTCCTCCGGGCTTTGGACATTGATGGCAGGGTGGACGAGGTTGAGCACATCTGGCATACTTTTGTGGTGACGAAACAAGAGAGCGTCCCTAGAGTTATGTATGCTCGAATGATCACGACGTATGATCGGCGAGCATTGCCAGACAAAGCTATCAAGGTAGGTAGACGAAACGTTTTGCGATCGTGGTGGTGATGGTGTTTGTTTTGTGGTCGTAGATGTTTAAAGAGCTGGAGCTTTCAGGAACGAGGCCGGATCCAGCGACAATAATCAAGATCGGGAAGATTTATGAGAAGCTCGGTTTCACGAATAAGACGGCGGAGCTACTCGAGAAGCACAAGCCAACGAAGACGTTCATATCGTTTAAGTTCAGGTGAGCCTTGTGATTGGGCTTGGCGGAAGTTCTTACGCTTGTGATCCTGCGGCTGCTCAGAACGAAGAGTCACAAATTCATGGGAGTCCCGGGCCATGACAGGAGGCGACTAACTTCTTCGGAGAAACAGAAAAAGAGGAAACTTAGAGAACGTCTTGCTACGATCATAGACTTTAGCTGAGGCGAGCTTCTGGTCTTCTACTTTTTCTTCTTGATCAGGGGCAAATCTAAAAAAGTTTCTATAGGTTTTTTTTTTCCGGCAGCACCCCGTTTTTAAGTCATGGAAGTCCAAATCCATCCTTTAGCCGGCAGTGGTGCGAAAACAGTGGCGACAAGGAATCACCGAGCTCGTGTGCAAGGAGAGCGGAGTGGTGGAGATGAGGAAGAAGAAGCCGACGAGCGATGCCGGGGACCCTCTGGCTTCCTTGTTTGCGCTCAGTGCGCTCAAGAACACTAGCGCCACCGCCGCCGCCGCCGCGGCCACGGCCAAAAAGAGCTCCGCTTCCTTCTTTTGCACGCCGCGAACCTTGGGTGGTGGGATATCCTCGAGCATGAAGACTCGAAGTATGCGCTGAGCTTTAGAGGCTGGGATCTCGCACCAAACAACCATTCTTTGGATCAAGTAAGTGTTACGTTTTTCTTTTCTCTTCCTCTCCTTGCGTATTGAATTTGTGTTTGCTTTCTCTTGAAATTCTTGCGGTTCTTTCTATTTTGTCTTTGTTCTTTGCTTCAAGTCTCAAGCTCTGCTCTCGCTTTGTTATGTCACACAATTACTGACAAAATGTCCCTGTTCCTTTCCTAGTTTCCATCGTGGACGGGAAGGAGGGCAGGTAGCTGGTCTTGTTGGATGGAATCAGGAAGCTCATATTGTATTGCTCTTCTGTCAGATCAGTCAATCAGACGTTCTTCTCAAATTGAAGACATACTGTGCAACAAGACAGTATGTCCATGCATCACTTGGATGTTTCAGGTCTCGTCATGGAAGGGATCCGTTGTTTTCGTCTTCCTAGCCGGAGCTGGTCATTTGGATATTGGCATGCGTACTTTTAGATGGGAGTGACATTATGAAATAGGTGTCATGAGTTCGGAAGTTATCGTCACCTTGAGGAAAAAATCTTGAGCAGATAATGGCTGCCTCAACAGGATATCAATGGTTTGACTTTTTGGTTCACTTGACAGGGATTGAACCTGGCGTTCTTTTCCTATCGGCCACTTGTCATTTGGGCCGACACTTGGCTCCGGTTATATACATAAGAAAAGTGCTGGTGCTGCTTGCCGCAGCTCCGATGGAGATCTTCTTGCTGGGAACTGCTCGCTCAAGCGCATGACAAGCCAACTTGTTGCAATCCGGGCATTTGCTATCAGACTCCTCCGTTTATCGGGGCTTGCTATCCGTGAATTTCATGAACAGCATGACAATGTTGCGGAATGAACAAACAAATGTTTTTCTGATCCATCAACAGCAAGTTGGAGCATTTCCTTAATCAGCTGACCTATTTACATTGAGGCCTTCCGTGAAATGGATCTAGTAGGAAATATCGTCCACAAGCAACGGACCCGGCAATGGACCTCTATATTCCGCAACAAGACTCAGTCGGGTTTCTGTTCCAACAAAACATCAAACTTCCTTCTGGAACGAAATGTCTTACTGTAAAGCTGAAAGGGTCCTTGCCAGGAGGCCAGGTTCCTCCTCCACACGAGATGGAGGATCCACGGCATGAGTTATCACACCCAGAGCATGTCCAGAAGGAACCACACCACCCTAAGACATTCAATTAATTCTTCCAGTGTATTTGTACAATTTCTTCCACAATAATCTCATATAACAACTCGGCTCCATGAGAATTTCATGATGCCTGTGGTAATGCCTTGTTGTATGTCACTAGTTAATAGCTAATTTGTTTGTATGTGAGATTAACTGGGCCAAACCGTCGATAATCACCACTAGATAGAAAGCATGAAATTGTGAGTTCTGAAACAACTATGCATAGCTTCAGATAAAGAACAGTTTATTCATTCGACCATTAGATAGAAAGCATGAAATTGTGAGTTCTGAAACAACTATGCATAGCTTCAGATAAAGAACAGTTTATTCATTCGACCATTTGTGCTTGTACATGCTACTGATCAGTAGCAAGGGCCAACAAATGGAGGAGTGCTGTAGCAGATCCCGGGATTGCAGCAGAAGGGCATGCTAGATGGGCACTGTGAACTACTTGTGCATCTCCGGTCCTGAGCACTAGCGACTTCCACAAAGCAAATTACTACCAGAGCAGCAACCAGCGCAAACAAAACCGCGAACTTCGACATTGTGAAACCAAGATGATTATTCCTCTTGCAGCCTACCTATTTATGAACCAAGTGTTGCCTAAAGGCCGGTCAAGATTTACATACGCAGTGCCTTCGAGGAACATGATAATGACTGAGAAGTCAGAGCAGCTGTTCACAAGTGCATTTTATAAAGTTAAGTGCTTGAGAATGTTCTTAGAATATTTTCCTTTTATTGTGGAGATTATATAATTTTCAACCTTTTTACTATTAACATTAACTTTTTGTTTTGTAGGGTGATGCAAGCTCAAGTCAAAGCTTTCGGATATCAAAGAACCAATTAGCCAATAGTGAGTATGCATCATCTTCCTCTTGCATGATTATTTATTTTTTATTTTTTTCATCTACTCGGGTGCGTGAAAATCTTCTACGCAATGGAATTCCCAGCGATTCTGGGAAGAATGGTGTGGGAAATGCATCACTGAGAAAAAGCCCTTTCAAATTGTCTCAGCTACCTCGCAAACACTTCCAATCTGATTGTATATCTCGACCAGTAGTTCTCTGGAACGCAATGATCATGACATATGCCATATATAGCAAGCAAGCTGCAAAGTGTGAGCTTTCTAACTATTCTGACAACCCATAGTTTCTCGCGGCAGAGAATACGATGACAGCTCTGGTAAACTTTTATAGAAAGTCTAGCAATGTGGATGACTTACGAGCAGTGACAGGTCACAGGATGAAGCAGCTGAGCTTGGTACCTGGAACACGACAATCACTGGCTTGCTTACGTCCAAAGAAAGGATGAAGATCGAAGATGCAACAGGTATTATCCTTTTCTCTTTCTTTTATACAACAACACCACAGTGAGATAGAAATAAGCACAACACTCACACATGGCAGGGCCTCCACAATGCAGTATTTTTAGAGCAAAGGCCTCTGCCACATGCCACATCATGAGAGGCAATGTCCTATGCTCCAGATAATTGATAGAACTTATCAAATAGGACTTAAGAAGCTCAATGAGATGTACATATAAAGGTTACATATAAAACAAACTTTCATGCTGACTGCTGATGGGAATTCAGTACAAAATTGGTAGTGCATAAATCTTTTCTACTTCTCCCAAGAGAGCTAAGGTAACTTTATGTGTAAATAAAATTTAAATTTATAAAGGAATAAAATATTTATTATTTGTGCTTATTATTATATAAAGTTTTTATTTAACCACTTTTTTTCTATCTTTTCCAATGGAGCTGGATTAAGATCAAGTGCTTTTAAAGCCATAACATATAAAGTAAATTACACACTTGTCAAGTATTTGTCATCTTTATATTTATTAAGAAATATAACCATGGCAAAAATTGAACCCTAAACCTCTACTCATGGGATTAATATGAATCCAGACCTAAATTACATATTTGGATTAGCTTGGGGTCTAACCACATTAGTTTCCAAAACTCCTATAAAAATAGAGTTACAATGAGCTCCTAACAGTTAAAACACTCTAATATCACTAGCTTTTTCGAATCCTCTTCTTCAACTCTACTCAAATCTTGATATTCTGCGGAAGTTATATTAAGTGTTGAAGTAATCCAATATAGTACTTTACATATAGCTTTAGCAAATTATTTAGCACCAACAATGACTTTTTTATTTATATATGCTAGTAAAGTTTGATGGTTTGAGTGTAAGCAATAAAAAAGAACAACTCAATAAATAATCCATTAGGGTTCAAATATAGTGGGAAAAGGCTATGAATAAATTGATTAAAGGTTTTAAGATACTTTAAATTAAACATCTTTGGGTTTAAATAGTATTGAGTTGGGTGATTTTATAAGAAGTTCAAATTCAAGAGTTTACACCGAATTTGATGATATAGCCTTTGAAAAACATTTTTACCTTGGATTTCATGACGATATCAAAGATTTCATACTCTCTCATTTAGATCTAACATCCATTGATATTAATATTTATTATAATAATCAATTGGAAGAATGATAATTGAAGTATCATCATCAAACCTTTATGCCTTATCCAATGGCCTCAATCTTGGAGTAACTAGCATATGAGAAAATAAGATTTTTCAGTGCCATAGAGAGAATTGTGCAATGGAATTTGATGCCATAATCAAGCATCCAATAGATCATTTCTTGCCTATAATACAACAAGGTATTATGGCTTGACAATTGTTTAGGGTGGAATTTAGGCCGATTCTAGTTAGATTTTAGTTTAAGCAAGGCATAATTCCAATAGAAATTAGAGCCATATATTAACGGGTTTTCCCAATATTGAATGACAATGTTGAATTAGACAATTCTCCCCTTCTCCAAATCTTCTTCTTATGCTTCTCTAATATTAATTTCTCACATTTCTTTACATGAGTTTTGGCCATTATAATCCTAGTTTTTTTTTTGCAATTACCATTCATCTAATGTCAACTTCATCTATCATGATCAAATCTACTTTTCCCTTATGTAGGTTGATTTCAAGGATATTTTCAACAAAAGGCTCATTCACATTTTACCATCATATCAACTTTATAATTATTCTATTGATCTTATAAAGAGGAAATTACCACCATTTAGTTATATCTATAATCTTTTACTACTAAAGTTGGAAACATAACTAAAGATCACTACCTCCATCCTTGAGGTATTTTTTAGTTCCATAGCAAAGGCTCTACTTGGCAAGTCTAAGAGTGTTCATCCCTAGTAAGTCCCTTTAACATTTTCTATTATGGGCTTTATCCTCAACTCAATTTTACGACCCTTCTTTGGGTCCTTCCTTAGAAATTACTTTTCTTAAACTCATAATACTATTGTATTTTATAGTTTATTTCCTTTAAGTGTCCTTCCCACTTGGTCACCTTGACTAAATCACACTATATTATTTATTCAAATCACTACTTTAAACTAGGAATACCGTTCCTTAACCCACCAAGGAGCTTGTCCTTAACTATCAGCTATAGAATCACTTAATGGTTTTACATAAACAATTTAATGGGTTTTCAAACCTCTAAGTTGTTGACTACAACCCCAGGGCATCCCCCACACTTGGCAGTGTGCATAAGCTAATCCTTTTAGTCAAGGGTCTATAGCAATTGAGTTTAGGTATCCCCATTTCATTCACTATATCCTTGGTGCCACTTACACCAAAGTGTTCATATTAGATATGCCAAGATTTCACACTAAACAATATAACCATGTATTATGATTTTAGGGCATCTCTCGCTTGGTAGTGTGCCCAAGCTAACCTCCTTACTAAGAGTCTATGACCACTGAAAAATAAATGTCCTCATATTCTAAAACATTATTATGGCCTAGTGAATTGGTACTTGAACCCAAGTATTAAAAAGTTAGGACTTAAACCCAACC